AAAAAAAAAAAAAGAGGGCAAAAGTGTTAAACTAATTTTATAGAGAAAACTGATGCATATTCTGAGAATTTTGAATATCCTGACACAATTACAAGGGAAAAACTCTTACTATGAAAAAAATTAAAAAGAAGACATTTTTAATTAATTACATAGCTAATTTTGCTTTTGCTAAGAGCTGTTTCATAAACTGTGCCTTATAGCATTATACCTGGTTTATTTTTCAGATTTAAAATATTGTATAATAAGTTGCCAAAATGAAACTATAATATGACAGCGAAAAATAAAAATGTTTTATTTTAATGATAATTTTTAAATACATTAAAAATTTAAATTTGTATAATTTCAATACATTACCATTATTTTCATGAAATTTATCAATGTTACGATGTTTTAAAAAAAATTGTCGAAAAATTCTCAGAACTCGGAATTAAAATTTTTCTATAGAAACTGATCTTAGAATCGCCAAAATGTTGATAAGTCGCCAAATTTAGAGCCATTTAATAAAAGAATTCACATCACCCAAAAGTGAAAAGTTATTTAAGAACTCTTTATTAGAAAAAATTAATTTCGAAATGCTTATGTTTCACTTCTTGCTTAGAAATGCAAGTATCCCATCATTTATATTAGAAATAGAAACAAATTATAACCCATGAACCCATTCAAAAGATAACCGTATATGTCAGCGAACCCACCTTAAAATTCCTCCAAAATGCTAATTTATACTCAAAATTGCAGTCGTAAAAACAGACAGAAATTTCAGATGAATAAAATTACGGAACTTTTGCTGATTTTGGTGAAAATTAAGGACTTTTAAGGACCAAAAATTAATTCTGAAAAATCTAAGGAATTCTGACGGACTGTACGAACCCTGAAGTATCAGGATTCAAGTTTGCGAGACTCTACTATACATAGAGTAAAGACAAACTTAATGGTGACAATTTATAAGTTGTAACAGATGTTGCAGACAGCAGTTCCAGCAGCATTGACTGATTTGAGGCCTAGGCAGTAGCAGTGGACAACAAAATTAAAGACGAGATCCAATTTACAAGTAAGTAAAAATGAAATGGAAAAAGGGGAAAGGCATTTTTTTGTGAAGGAATAGTTTCAGAGAAATAATGAGATTTATTAGATTGATAAAAAGGCATAACAGATATCAGAGATCCAATCATCTGCTTAGAAGAATGTGTTCACAACTGACTATGTATCAATGTAAAAACAGAAATATACTAGTCTTGAGCATCCTTCAACAAACTCTTGACATTGCAGGTAATACCAAGAATTTCCCTCAAAAGTCGCTATTTTATAACTCTACAAAAGCACTGACATTACAGACCAAATACCTAGAAACTGTTCAATAAAAGTAGGAAGTCATGAATAACGAATGCATTTGTTCTACAATATTTGAGATTTGGCTGTAATCGTTAAGTATGTTTGTGATATGTACATGTTTGGGTTAGATACTGTCATACATACATGTGAAAATATGTCAGCATACAGTTCTACAGATAATCAGAAAGTACCAATGACACACTACACAAAAATATATCATTCTTTAGAAATAGGAGAGTAAACTTTAAATGATTCAAATGTATACCCCCTTAACATATTTAAATCAAAAATAAGTTAAGGGGCAGAATTCTTTTTGCTCCTGAAGAAGATCGACCTATGTCTGATCCCCCCCCCCAAAATTGATAAAGTTTTATTTAAAATTTACGCCAATATAAGGTTCTGCTTGCTTAATTTTAAGTTTTATAGTGATGCACTTCCCTCTTAATTTGAAATTCAAGTCAATTTCTAACAAAATGGAAATTTATACTTACTAGATACTGCCGAATTTAAAATACGAGATGGACTACTCTTGTCACTTGATTTCTCTAAAACTGTATTGCTGCATTTATCACTTGGTTCAGAACAAATTTTCTTGGAAGACTTTTTATTTTCCAACAAAAGCTCCTCATCCGAGTCATCAGTAGAATCATTACTTTTTATGCGCTTAAACTTGCTAGATTTATTATTTCTCAATCTAAGTGACAATCGACTTGATTTCTGAGAAGTTTTCTTATTTCCAGAAGAAACCAACTTTTCAAGTAAGTCTAAGTTTCCAGAACAATCTCTTTTATCTGAATCATTCAAGCTTGTAAATTCATCAACTTTTTCTCTTTTTTCATGTTCATCTTTTGACATTTTATTACTGCAAGGATCCATCTTCTCTGCTAAATTTCTCAGAGGTGCTACCATTTCATTAGCAAAGGCCATATCAGGATCAGATGAAAGATCTTCATCTATTTGTTTATAATTAGAAGAAGGAACTGATCTGATCCTGTAAAATGAAGCATTCAGCTGAAAAGGATCACATTCTTCTGTTGATGATTGACTGAAACTCAAATCTGAGTCTTCCTTGTTCAAGGAAAAACTAATTTTGCTTTTTGATGTATTATTCGAACAGGCATTAGTGCTTTCTTTGTGTGATACTTCCACAGTTTTCTGTCTCAATACATCAGTGTCAGGAGATTTTGCAAAATTTTCATTAACTGTGATACAGGGTTGTGATTTTTCAGTACTTTTGTTTATTCTTGGATTGGTTTCTGCCACTTTAACAAGTAAACAATGAATATCATGTACATCATCATTTGTATCACTACTTTGATTTGTCTTTGGAATAACACTAAATATTACATTACATTCACTCTGAAGATCTTGCTTTTCATGCTGAGGAGGAATAACATGAATGGGATGTTTAGGAATATTTTCTGCAAGCTGATTTAAAGAATGATCTACTTGTTTGGAGCTGCGAGATTCTGTATGACTTTGATCATTTTTTGGAACGTTTCCTACAACTACATCATTTGAACTTTCAAAATGCAATAGATTTTTCTGCTGTGAAGATGATGTACAAATTAAATGTTCTGGGTTATTTTCTTCAAGTTTATTTAAAAAACTCTGTTCTTGTTCTGAATTTGGAATTTCCACAGAACACTGCTGCAGCTCTGGAAGAATAATTTTCTTCTCTGAAATTTCAGAATGCTGCTCAATATTAGTTTGTTTTTGTGAAGTACTACAAACAGGAATTTCTGAAGTATTTTTTTCAGGTTGATTCAACACACTTTCAGTTTCAGTGACTTTTGGAAGGTCCTCAAACATTACATTTTTAGAAAAACCAGAAAGCAGCCTTTTATGCTGTGGAGAAATAACATCAGCAGACGGTTCTGGGACATTCTCCTCATGATGAAGTAATGAGCTGTGTTTTTGCAATGCATTTTGGGGATCTATAGTGTAGTTATTAAGGCACGGTAAAGAATCAAGCATATTTTTAAATTTTTTTGGAGGATTACATTCTTCTAAAATTGATGCATCTGATTCCACATTTGATGATAGTTCTATTGCTAATGGTGAATTCAAAGGCATATTACAGTTCGAAGTTTGGATATTTTTCTCAGAAAATAATGCATTATCTTGTGCAACTTCACCGGATTCTATTACTTTTAAAACAGAAATATTAAGTGTTTCTTCAGATACACAAATATCAAGTTTAAAATCTCTAGCTAAAAATGGAAGACAGCAGATTGGTTCGATTTGACCTGACATATTACTTTTCACAAAAGCATCTTGTATTTCTTCCAAAGTTAGACAAGTTCTTTTCACAACCTTTGTTTTTGGCACATTTGTAAAAGAAAAATTTTGACAGCTTCCTTTCTGATCTCTCTCTTTCAAATTTATCAGAGAGGCTTCATGTTTAAATGCCGCATCTCTAACAGACAACAACATGGATTCTTTCTGAACAACTGATAACAAATTATTTTGCCTGATGCCTGTATTGTCACAGATATTGTAAAACCTTTGAGATGTCTGTTGAGAGTGTTCTATATAACGGATATCATCTTCCTCATCATCGTGTAAAGCAGATTCCAAGACTGACGACTTACTAAATTTTGAGAAATGCGAGTCTACTTCATTACTTGTGTTCATTTCATTTTTGTTTTGCACATCTGACGGTTGAAATGAAGTTGATTTATCTAATTTCTTATTTATTTCATGTAACACTTCAACATTAACTGCAGCACTTTTGTATAAATGCTTCAGTTCCTCATTACATTTTTTTGATATGAAATTCTTTAAATGTAGTGGATCAGGTTCAAAAATTTCACTGTCATTGGCATTTACAATGTCAATGTCCATTAGACTTTCTTCTGCTTGCATACTGTTTTTATCTCGATCTTCTGCAATACTATTAACATTTCCACTTAGACCCACTGGACAATAATTTAGATCACCCGTAAAAGCTGAAACAGCTTCAAAAGAAACTTCAGTATCCTTTCTTTTATCCCCTTTAACGTGGCTGTTGCATTCTAAAGAAACTGGCAGGCTGTCTGAAGATTTACTTCTCTCTGGCATTGTAATTAAGCTATTAGTATCAGATTGCTTGTTCAAGTTTCGACACTCTATTTCATTATTTTGATCACTTGTAATAACAAACTCACCAGTATTTTCACTAGAAGTTTCACCACCATGAACATCCACAATATCTTGATTCGTAAGCCCAGATACTTTTGTGGCAAATATATTTTCCTCACTGCTTGATCGAGCAGATTCTGAACACTGTTGATTACTCTGGCCAAAAACTGTTGAAGCTTTTTTTGTTAGTTCCTTTCCAGATTCTCTTTCAGGATGACAGTCAGAAATCAAATTAATTTCAGTATTTTTAGTGCCCTCATCATGCTCATTTTCCGCTTGAGAAGACTGGCATGCCAAATTTTTATAACAGTTATCCTTTGCTGCTGAAGGGTCATTTATATCAAAATTAGGTTTAGTTACAACATTTTCAGTTTCATTAGAGTAGCAAACAACATCAGTTTTAGAACTTGTTACTGTATCTTGCATGCTGTCATCAGCATTTATGTCTTTCAGTAACACATGAGGCAAATTTTTCTCAATATTTAACCTAGAAAATTTTTTCATACGAAAATCTTTCCCAATTGCTTTGACTCGAGACCATCCAGGTGACTTATGTGAAAGTACTGTTTTATTTGCTTCTGGGCTGGCTACAGAATACACTGATATTGCAGTATCCGGACACATTTCTGATTCTAAAAGTTCAGATGGTTCTGCTGCAACTACAGTTTTTAAAGGATGATTTGAAGTTTTGGGTGAAATATCAATTTCATTCAGATTGAAGCATTCCTTTTCGAAAGATCTTCTTTTTGGAGTTTTCTCACCTACTGAATCATTAATAACTGGAAGATGGTGATTCTCTGCATCTTCCAGTCTCAAGTACACAGTTTCTTCATCAGCTGATAAATTAGAAATTGGGGTGGTAACCTTGACAAGCCTTTTGCCACGCTTTGCAGATCGACCTCTTGACTTTTTAATGCAGGGAGTATCATTATTTTTTTCCAAATGTTTCACATTCTTGGCTCTCTTCGGGCTTGATATAAACTTACCATCATTTTCTTTTGCTAGCTCATCACCTACAGTATTATTTCTTTTTAGATCATTATCCTTTTTAGAAGCTTTAGACAAGAAAGAGTCATCATTTATAATATATTTATCTTTATCGACTTCATTAGTTTTGTTCTTTAAAGCATTTAACCTGTTTTTGTTCATAATTTTTTTCTTTTGTTCAGAGGCTTTCAAATTTAATCGACTTTTCCTCCTTATTTTCATATTATTAACGACTACTGGATTTTCAGAAATCAGTGGCAAATTTTGACTTTCTGTCGATTCATCATCCTTGATTTTTTTCCCAGGATGAGATACCTCACATGACATTTCCTTAGATGAATCAGATAAAACAGAAGCTATATGTGTCTTATTATCATGTTTTAGAGCCTTCCTAGAATAAGTTCTCAAATAAGACTTTTTTGGTGGATGAAAAAACAAAGCAGGATTAGACTGGTCCAGTTCTACCATTTTTTGAATTGGCACAGTGCATGGCAAAGTTCGGAATGTATCCAAATCTTGTGGCACAAGACACTTATTAGTAGGCAAAATTTCATCTTCACTGGATGCAGAATTGGAAACATTTATTTCTTTTTCGGCAACTTCTTTTCTGTAAAATAAAAATAAAATTCAGTTATAAATAATTATAAAAAATAAATAAACATAAAATTTGCCAACAGATTTTACTTCAAATGCTTTTATTTTGTTCACAAACATAAAAATTCTCAGTTTTAAAAATAATTTATTAACATCTGCATTAAAGGCGCATCTCACAAATCAGAAACCTTACAAAACATGCTGTCTATAAAGTAAAAAAATACACACCTAAAGAGATTTATTATTTTATTTTCTGGTATTGATTTACTGATTTCTTTTAACAGCAATCAAATATTCTACAAAGACACTTTTTCCTCATGCAATACAGGAGTCTCTCACTTATTTAATACATCATGACATCTGTATATATAGTGTACTCTTGATTATCCATGTGTGGTGGTGCTTACATGTGCATACTCAATACTACGGGCAAGATTTAGTTTTAAAAACTCTTCTTCAGTGACTTGACAATCCAAGATGGGCCCTAGCCTTCTTTAGAAATCGATTCCTGGCTATTCTACTTTTGACCTTATTCTTCCAATTAATTACATTTAAGTTAGACAAGTCTCCTTCCAGATAGTCTAGCCATCTAGGTTTTGATCTCCCTCTCAAGTATGACTTGTAAGTGAATATATTATTGGCTTGTATGTGAATATATTTTGGAGGGTAGTTTTAATTTTGGGTATTCTGTTTAAGTGATCAGCCCATTTTAATCTTCATGTGCTGATAAAATGTATGATGTCTGGATATTCTCTGTTGATTCTTCTTCGCCAGGTGTTATCTATATGAATACCTCCAACAATGGTTGTTAAAATCTTACTCTCAGACTGGAAGTATTTTTTCATTTTTTTTAGTTAATCTATAAATTCTGGCTCCATATGTCAAAACAGGTCTAAATATACATTTGTAAATCATCAGTTTAGTTGTTCTTTTCATAAAGCTGGATTTCAAATACTTCTTTGAATCAAAGAAGCATCAGTTAGCATGTGTTACCATTTTGAATTACAGGAGAGATATAGTTTCAATGATTACCTCGTACAATTTACTTCAAATGTACAAGTTTCTGTTACAAGATTCTTCCTAATATAGAAATTAGAGATTTATCTTATTGTGAAAAAGTCAAGAGAATAATTGAAGTTTTATGCGAAAAACGTTGAAAATATAAATATTTCAAAAATGTTGATCTGGAAAATATCATGGAATGGTTCAATTTCAACTGAGCCGGGGTTTCAATGCTTAAGTGATGTGGATAGTCTTTCAAATATTACAAGAACAGAATAGGGAGAGAAAGACACTGAAAGTGCAAGAGAAGAAGATACCTGCAAATGCATTAGTCCAGAGACAGCAATGACTTCTGTTGACACTCTAATGGAACTTTATCGAAGAAAGGGGAATTGAATACAATAAAATAGTACTTTGAGAATTATGCAGTGAAATTTGACAAATATTGAAGTGTTCTCAAAAACAAAGCAATATTACTGACTTTTTTAGAAATAAATACATACAATTTGCATAAATATTTATCGTTTAGATAACCACTCTCCGGCATTAGAATAGATAATCAGGAGTACAGTATTAGCAAATGCATGGTAAAGTTAAATAACAATATATATATGTAATATTTTAATGCATAAAAGGAATCTGGTACTTTAACATTTGGCTGTAGACATGGCTGAGGGTGAAGGCTTGATGAAGCAGATAACAAAACTGAATTGAAGAATCACCATCTTTATTTTTACACATCTCATATGCAGACAAATTAACTTTTTAATCATCATTGAATACAGTAATTTTTTATATACACAGGTAAAAGATAGGACATCATTTCAGGCAAAGCATAAGCAGCAGAGTTCTTTGCATGGCAGAAATCAGGGGGGAAAAAAAGGAATGTAGTTCCTCGTGAAGTCATATTTATACTATATAGGCACTTTAGGTAATGCTAAGCAGTGATTGGTTAAGTTTAGCTTAAAAAAGACTGGTCCAATAAATCGCTGTACAGTACAAAGCCCGAGAACCGGAAGTCCAATATCCTGAATGATCTAAAATCCCGGACCTCAAAGCCACCAACAATTTTTTTTTTAATGCTTTAAGCATGTGCATTTAATTCCTCCCCCTACGCATAATAAAACATGTGGAGAGTCAAGATTCTTAATTTCACTTTGGCACTAAATAAAATACCTTGTTATTAATGAAACAATCATTTTAGCATAAATTTGTATGATTGATAATTTGGCTCTGTTGCTGCATATCTGTCTCAAACCAAAACATTCTACAGAAATAACATCATTGATTTTACTTGCACTAATATTCTATATCCCTGACACTAACCTGGTTAATCATTATTTATCATATTTTGCTTTCATCAATGGCTGTTTATCAACACATGACAGCTTGAGTAATGACTTATGTAGCAATGGCTAAACAATTTTTTATGTTAGTAATTGAATAATAAAGAGTATGGTAAATACTTATGTTGACATTATACTTGGCAATGATTACAGATTTAAGATAAATGCGCTAAGACATGTTGACGAAGAAAAATGAAACACAATTTTTTTTCCATATGCTAAAAATAGATTTCTTAATGATAAAAAATTACATTAATGCTATTTGGATTAAGAACAACTGATTTGTTATTCACATAAACCCAGAACCTGCACCAGGCCTCGTATGACCACACGAGGCAACAGAATTTAGGGAAGACATTTGCTAGCAGAATTTAGGACCCACAGAGACTGCATCAGGCAATAAGATATCTAGTACCGGCCCTCAATAAGCTTTAAGTATATGTGGGAATTTATTTATTCAGGACTCAGATAAGCATTAAGCTTGTGCAAAAAATAGACATAAGTATAATAAATAACTAATACAGTTCAGGTTTAATTCTCTCAGTGCACAACAGAAGCAAGATAAAATTTTGCGGAACTTGTCTTTAGTCGTCAATCTCATGATACATAGCCAAATATGCATAGTGAATGAGATAACAAAATTTTATGATGATAATTGCAAATTTTAAAGATTTTTGGACATCGCAAAACAAAGATGAAATTCTCCAATTAACGGATTTTGTAAAGAAATGTGGAGAAGCGGTAATAAATGAAGATGATATAAAAGAAGTTTTTCATTGTGATGGCAATGCTTCTCAATCATCAGTAAATTAACGGATGGCAAACTATGTAGTATGGTTCTATATCTAGAAAATACCGTTACCAATAGTGAAGAAAGTGACAGAGAGGTTACGGAAAACAAAAAAATTTCGATTGACAAGTTAGTGGGAATTATCCACACAGCAATTACAGGACTTCAACAATGTAACTAAACAAAAAATTATGTCTGTCACAGAATTATACAGAAAGTATTAAAACGAAGCAACTTAAACAACCCTCATTGAAAGAAATGTTTAATAAAGTAAAGAAATAAATATCAAGCTTTTTTTAATATATTTTGATACCCTTTCGATCATAAATGTTCATTATTTCATAAATTACCTTTTCATATTTTTAATTTTATAATTTTTGCATGCCATCTTACTAGATTTAAACTGATGATCTAATATCTGGAAAATTCCAAATCCGGAATTGCTGAAGTCCAGACGAGTTTGGGTCTCGGACTTTGTACTGTACTTACAGAATCAGTTTTCCGTAACATTATCACATTCAAAGTGGTTCCCTTCAGCATTCACACACTTCTATATTCGGTGCTGCCATTGCTGGTAACACTTCTGGAATGAGGTTTTGGAAGGCCATTCAGGAGATTCTCGGTTTTTGCCTGAACCATTTCAGCTCAGATAAAATGGGTTCCCTTTAAGTAAGATTTAACTTTAGGAAATAAAGAAAAGTTGCATGGAGCCATATCAGGTGAATAAGGAGGCTATCCAATCACAGTAATATTTTTGCTGGTCAAAAATTAATTGACAGATAGGGCTGTGTGAGCGGGTGCATTGTCCTGGTGCAACAGTCATCCATCACTCCTCAACTGTGGCAATTTTTTTCCTAATTTTCCCACGAAGTCTTTTTAGTACTTCAATGTCGTAGTATTGATTAACAGTCTGACCACTGGGAACTCATTCAATCATGATGAACGTATTGGGCCATCTTTCACACTGACTCTTCCTCCTGAAGACCACTTATGGCATTCTTAACACATGTGCACAAGACAAAATTTCATCTCCATAAGCCTCAGTTAACATTTTGAAATGTTTCCTCCATGGCTGATTTCTTAAGTTTCACAACTTGATGTTGATTTACTGTTTGGTTTTTACATTAGACATTTTTTTGGCTGAATGCAGTTGAACGTGTTCACTCAATTACACAGTACTCTGCACTGGCGTTGGTCGGTTAAGTCGAAACTTGCCACATAGATAGAGGATGTGTGTGGCATGACGTCACCAAAACAGTTGTTGCCAACTCCACTCTGTTTTCAAGCTACACGCTTAGTCACCTTATTTTGTGTCACACCTCATATGTAGGTTTCAGTTTTAAACAAGCAAGGTATTGAAAATAAAGTATATCTGGTATTGTAAAGATTACCAAAAAATATACTAATGTGCTAAATATGTATAAAAGAATTAAAAGTTACAAATACACTGAAATTAATTAAAATAAAAAAGGCACAATATTCAAGGTAACTGAAGACAAACTAAAAAAAAATCTATAAAACATGGACATAAAAATATAATCAAAATGTTATTAAAGAGTAATATTAGAAAAGATTACAACAGTTTTTAAATTATAATCTTAGACAAAAAGAAACTTACTTATTTGCAATATGAGTAATATGCTCAGTTTTTGATTCATCACCTAAAATGAAATCATTAAAACAATTAAATCACCTACATTTGAAAAAGTAAAACCTTCTAATATTTTAATCAGATTGACAATTTTTACAGAATAAAGTGGTTCAACTTATATTTCATTAGCAAAGTGACATAGTTTTATGTTACATTTGATGTAGAAAAATGCCACATTTACCATCCGTATGAATTTCCTCGGATTTTCTTTTTTTGGACACTTTTCTATTTTCCTTGAAATAAAAGAATTAAAATAATAAATAGTTAAAGTCTATTAATTAATATTGATGCTGCTCAGAGAAATTGCAACATTAAGAAATACATGGCTTAAAAGCGTGATTTCTGATTATCTGCACTCGCACTGAAATTTTACAAACTGGGTGGCAATTTTGGAAAGCAGTTACAAGCTCATGACTTTGGAGAGAAATGTTTGATTAAGTTCCTTTATATCTATCTCAGTTATGCATCCAGTGCTGCCTACCTCTCTTTTATTTTCATTCAAATAAAAAAATAATTAATAAATAACTAAATAAATAATAAAACAAATTTCAAATTTGAGCTTTCCAGATGCCCATATTCAGGTGCAGTTGTAGGTTATTCAAAATTTGATGGCTCTAGGTACCGTTGTTTTATCACAATGCGAGAAACATACATAAATTTATGCAGATTCTTCATTATTTAATTTCTTTAAATATAATACAGGGCTCTAATATTTGGTGGCAACAAATTAAAAAGTGATTCACCATTTATCTATGTCCCTTGCCCCTTTGGGCTATAAAAAAAGTCTGAAGGCTTTCAGATTTTACAATATGACCAAAGGGACTTTTTTTTTTTTTTTTTTTAAACATTTTGTGGGTTACTTTTATTTATTAAATATCATGTTCATCGCACTGAAACCATAAAATTAAATGCAACAGCAATATCGCAAAATAATTTTTAAATGAGCATATCTTTAGAATTTCTGATACACAGTCTCGCACGCTGAAGATAAAAATGCTTTTTCTTTTCGCGTACAGTGTTGCCATTGCTCGCTTTGAAATCATTGAGTTTGTTAATCAAAAATTCATTAAAGTAATACAAAATATGAAATTGATAATAAAACAAATTCCAAATTAGGGTTTTCAGATGCCCATATTCAGTAGAGGATTACGTTATTCAAAATTTGATGGCTCTAGGTATCGTCGTTTTATCATAGGGTCTAGGTATCGTCATCGAAGAAACCTACATACATTTATGCAGATTCTTCATTATTTAATTTCTGTAAATTAAACATAGGGCAATAATTTGAAAAGTGAAAAAGGCAAAAAAGTTTTCAATGCAAAATGCCAAAACAAAATTAATAGCTCACCTGGGCTAATGCCCTTTAGGCTGAAAAAAAAGCTTCCTTTTTTTTGTGCTGTTGTTCTTATATACACAGCAATCTGTAGAGGGGGGATAGAGTTGTACAACTTCAGTATCCGCAAAGAACAGTTGAAACTTCACTTTACAGTGTTCGTACACATTTCTGCACTCGGAAATTAAGGACTTTTAAGGACCATTAATGAAAAAAATTGAGGACTTATGAGCAAATGGAAACTGAATAAATTCAATTAAAAATATTATTCTATGCCTGAATTTCACTTTTGTAATACCATCCTAAAAATAAAATAGATCTCTAAGTAGTATGCATTATTACTAAACATGAATTAACTAACATAATTATTAATAAGTTTGAGAATAAAATAAATTTCGTGCAGTTTATCAAGTAGTATTAAATATTTTACACATATAACAGTTGGACATATTTAAAAGAAGATAAGTGACATTTACGTTTTACTAATAGTTAGCTTTATGCTTTTTTTTAATGTCTCATTTTGTCACATACTTGATCAATCTAGAGGTTTAGCAAATATTCGGGAGATTTTATGTCAAACGACATAGGTTAAAATGAGAAGTGAGATCATAATCAGCATCACTCATAACAAAAGAATGAATGTTGTCCCTCTGCTGCTTGTCTATAGAGAGACCTGCTGATTGGAACAAACCTGAAAATCCTGATGTAGGCACAGTTGGCAAGTGTTGAAAGTTAGTCAAGCTCTGCTTAATGCAGTTAATGTCATAGCTTTGTGTAGAGTTCCAGGGGTTGTAACCCAGTTAATATACTTTAAGGTTCCAATAAGCCATTAAAGCGCCAGAGGCGATAAGTTGTTTTATATATAAGTCTCAGTAGATGCAAAGAGTAAGTTTTACTTGATGGTGTTGATGGTTATTTGATGGGTACTCCACACAAAGGATTTAGTGATTGGATTCCCTAAAAACCCCAGTCGCCGTTTAAAAGGGGGAGTATATAAGGTATTTCTCCCACCTTCTTGGCAATCCTTCGTGGTGTAGTGGTTTGCATACTGGTAGCTGTATTTCAGAGGTCTGTGGTTCGATTCCCGGCGAAGGCGTTGTTAATTTTTTTATCTTTCCTGCTTTCAAAAATACCTAATGTCTCAACAAGCCTTCCCAAACATTTTGGCTAGTTTATATCATTTTTCTTCTCTTTACTTATCGATCTTTTCTGACAGTAATTAGAAATTTGTCTCAATATGCAAACCAGTGTTCTCAGTAGTTTCTGTGTGCTTTATCTCCTAACTTGTCAACCTCTCCACAACGTGCCTATGAGGGTTTACTTGATCTGGTAAAAGTTAAATAGTCCCCCCCCCGATAGACCTGAAGCAAATTATCACTGTATCTGAAAGTAACTACACTATCAGACAAAGAACTTTAAACATAAATGCATGTTCTGATGCTAACAAAGTACTTACACGGTTACAATTACAGCTCACGGTGACGTAATTAAACAAGAACAGTCAAATTCAAACTAAAAATGTGGACTAGTTGTCAAAAATAATAAAATTTAATTTTAATTTAATCTGGCTCAGTAACTCCATCATATGAGGAAACAGAAATGGGAACAGGGTTCATAGCCACATTTTAGTTAAAAAAATAAGCACCTATAAGCACTTTTCAAACACATTTTAAGAAAAAAAAATAAGCACCTGTCTAATTACATTATACACAACTGCATAACCTTAAAAATTAGACTTGTAATTTAAAATATGAGAAATGCAGTATTTATTAAGAGAGAATAAGCATTACTTCAACCATGGAAAATAATTATTTTTTTTTTTTTTTTTTTTTTAAAAATAACAGTTTAATTTACAGAACTAGTTTACAATGAGAGAAAAAAAAAAAAACTATGCAGAACTAAACTATATTACAAGATTTAATGATGAAATTTCAGTTCAAAATAGAGAAAATAAATAACAATAAGGCATATTTATTGTATTCGCTTGGAACCTAATAATAAATACAATTTATTTTTCCACTCATATCGATATTTAAATAATTTAAATCTCAATTCTGAACAATTTCTAAATTTTCATTGTATATCAGTTTTCCCTTAACAGATATTGCAAGCAAAGTAATTTAAGTAAAAAAGAGGAACATTTCTGAAATCAGAAGACAGAAATTTGCTTCACGCAGTCATCCTTTAACAGTAAAAGCTTAACTAACTTGCACACTCAGAAATTGGCGAATATTCGGACAGTCGAGCGTAACTTGAAAAAGAGGAGTGGAGTAGACTGTAGCCGCTCTTTAGATTTTTCCGCTAAATAAATGCTTTTGACATTTCGATATGTGCATCATATATATATATATATAAAAAAAAAAAAAAAAACAATGGAACTGAAAAATATTCTGCTTAGCAAGCACAGTAAAACTCTTTTAAGTGTTCATAAACAAATCTCAGACAGAAAATCAAAATTAATTATCTCTGCAAAATATTGCAAACGTTATTGGCCAATACGTGCGCCGTAATTCTTCTCTATGTGATATTATGCAATCGGAATCAACAGCTGGCGGTATTGGGAGAATAAAGAAGTAAATAACTGGGGTGTTTTTCATTCCAATTTTCAACAGACGGCGTTAAATTTCCGGAATAGAATCATTCTTTGCTTGGGTTGGTAGACCGCAGAACTTTTAGTCCTATTCAATCTAGATTTGAAAGTGACTGACAAAAAAAAAAAAAGGTTCGTTGCTTGTTTTACAGCGAACTGTAACAGTTTCAATATTTGAGATTTTGGTGGGAAAGGGGATAACCTCCCAATCTTCGTACTGTATAATGTATTGGCCAAAAAAATTAAATTATTTTGACTATTTGATTAGTTTCCCTTTATTTAAGACATTCCGAATATTATTCCTTAGGAAGCTAATCTGTGTTAAAACACAACAATTTTTGGAAGTTTACTGTACTTCAGCAGTTACTGCAACTATATTATTATAAACATTCATACATATGCCCATAATATAAGCATAACGATCATAATAAACACGAATATGAACTGACAAAGCGAAACGAGAATGCAAATTATTAAGATCTTGATAAAAATTCAAACGTGTGTAGTATTATTGGGTGGGAGGAAAAGAATGCCGGATGTACCGGAATTTTCTACTGCTTTCGCAATTCTTTGACCAATAGAACGACGGGCACCTGTCTGTACTCTTCATCAAAGCACACCAAAGGTTATGTTAATGCAGAGAAAGGGGGAAAAGCTATTTCCGGGAGTATGATTCACCATCTGACATTCCATATTAGGAAGAAAAGTTTTTTTATTTAGTTTCGGCTTTAGTACGGAGAAAAATAGTGCGTTCATTAAAAAAAAGCACTAAAAGCAAACAATAAGCACTAAAAACAAAAAAATAAGGGCTTTAAAGAAAAAGTAAGCACCTATAAGGGCCTTTATATTTTATTTTCAAATATAAGGACTTATAAGCACTTATAAGGACCGCTACGAACCCTGGGGAAGTTATAGTAAAGGCTGAAATGATAAACTATTGGGTAATTTACATAATAATAACTGCACATAACTTTGAAGAATAATTTTCTTTATGTATTCAGTTTTTTCCTTCAACGTGTTTTCTTTTAATTTTAGAATTTTTGGATTTAATTAAGGATTTCTGTTATTTTAAAAAACACTAAATGCATGTAGAATGTACAAAGAAAGCAGCTAATTTTATTTCTTTAGTAATATGAACATTCAGAAGAAATATGAAATATATATGGTAAAGGCTGGTTACAGAGCAGGTGTGGCAGAATTTTTAGAATTTAGTGACACACAGAACAACAAAATCTAGATATGGCAAAACTTTTAGAATTTAGAGCAGGCATTGGAAGCAGAATTTAGATAGGCACTAGGCAGCAGAATTTAGGATAGAATCATCAGGTGGGAAAATGCATAGCACCAACTCTGTGTACGATGCATTTAGACACATTAGATGAATCTTTTAAATTGTAAGTTTTCAATTTCTTTATTAATAAGACAATCTCTTTCTATAATGCCTGCCCAAGTGATAAGATTAGAAGCATTTTTGATATTTTCCATGCTTTTGTCAGTAAAAAGTACAGAAAATAAGGGAAGATAACATGTTAAGAAAAAAAGATTCTAGTATCAGGAGTAAAACATTCAAATATTATGTTTCCATTGTTCTTTCAGACGTTCTCCAAAAAGTAAGAAATTCATCGCAAACTTTCTGTAAAATGCATCCATTACATGTTGATATGTTGATACCATGGAGACATTTTTCATTTTGTCACATATTTCTCAAATCTTCTAGAATCGTGAGTCTATAAATCTTGCCTTCAAATCCTTCTAAACTTTCCATACTGCAATGTCAAAAATACTAAAGAAAAATTACCCCAACCAATTCTGTAACAGCAAAAAGCCAGATATATTTTGAAAAAAAAAAGGGGGGGAAGGAAAAAGTGTAAAATTAATTTTATAGAGAAAACTCATGCATATTCTGAGAGTTTTGAATAATCTGAGACAATTACATGGGAAAAACGCTTACTATGAAAAAATTAAAAAGAAGACATTTTAATTAATTACATAGCAAATTTTGCTTTTACTAAGAGCTGTTTTTTAAATTATGCTTTATAACTATATACCTTGTTTATTTTTCAGATTTAAAATATTGTACAATAAGTTGCCAAAATAAAACTTTATAATATGACAGCGAAAAATAAAAATGTTTTATTTTAATGTTATCTTTTAAATATAATTCTAATATATTACCATTATTTTAATGAGATTTATCAATGTTATGATGTTTTAAAAAAATCACTGAAAAATACTCAGATCTCGGAATTAAAAATTTTCTATAGAAACTGATCTTAAAATCGCCAAATGTTGACAAGTTCTCAAATTTAGAACCATTAAAATAAAAGAATTCACAACCCCAAAAGCGAAAAGTTGTTTAAGAGCTCTTTATTAGAAAAAATGAATTTTGAAATGCTTATGTTTCACTTCTTGCTTAGAAACTCGAGTATCCCATCATTTATATTAGAAATAGAAATAAATTATAACCCATGAACCTATTCAAAAGATAACCATATACATCAGTGAATTGCCAAAAATATTCCTCCAAAATGCTAATTCACACTCAAAATGGCAGTCGTAACAACAGACAGAAATTTCAGATGATTAAAATTAAGGACCTTTTACTGATTTTGGCCAAAATTAAGGACTTTTAAGGAACAAAAATCGATTTTAAAAAATTTAAGGACTTTTAAGGACTCTTAAGGACCGTACGAACCCTGACTTTAGGGTTTAGTATTTTAATACATTTTCTGTGAATATGTATTATTAACTGTGTCCCATCCAACGCATTAAAATTTCACAGTAAGAGAAAAGCCACATTTCAACACTATGATATTTCTTTTTAAGTTTAGAATACGTTAAGTTAATAAGTTTCTTTTCAAGATATGTTAAATTTTCTTCTAAAGTTTTTAATATGATATTTGTTATCAATATTTACAATGCTATCTTGTATATTAAGGCATGATTATGCACTGTCAATGCGATAACTGATTTTACTGATCCAATAATTTAGATCTGCTATTTATGATCCTCTTTCATACACTCTGAGTCAGATTAAAGATACATTTCATACACTCTGAGTCAGATTAAAGATACAGTGTTGACAAACATATCCTGTTTGCCAACACTGTATCTTTCAAGATCTACTTCATGCATTAAATTCCAGGTTCATTTGAGAGTTTTTTCAAATGTTGCAAATTCTCCAAACAGCACAACTTTGCAACAAAACCAACTCTGAAAAATATATTCAGTGCAAAGTCTGGACTCGTCGGGACTTCAGCGATTCCGGATTTGGGATTTTTCCGGATATTAGATGATCAGTTTAAACCTAGTACCATGTAGAAATTATAAAATTAAAAATATGAAATTGTGATTCATGAAATGAAGTATTTATAATCTAAAGGGTATTAAAATTTACAAAAAAAAAAAAAAATCAAATCAGTTGTTCTTAATTCAAATAGCCCTAAATGTAATCTTTGAGTCCATGAGTATCAACAACAAAATCTATTTTTAGCATATGGAAAGAATGTTTTTAATTTTTTCTTGTCAACATTTCTTAGTGCATTTAACTTAAATCTGTAATCATCGCCAAGCGTAATGTCAACATAAAAAGTTGCCATACTCCATTGTTATTCAATTACTAACATACAAAAATTGTTTAGGCATTGCTACATGAGTCATTACTCAAGCTGTCATGTGTTGATAAACATGCGGTGATGAGAGAAAAGTATAATAAATAATGAATTAGTGTCAGATCAACGATGTAACTACGTGGAATGTTTCGGTTTGGGATGTGTGCCAAGCAGATACATAGCAACGAAGCCAAATTACTGATTGTACAAATGAATGCTAAAATGATTGTTTCTTCAACAACAAAGCATTTTATTTAGTGTCGAAGTGAAAATAAGAATCGGGACTCTCCAGATATTATATTATGCACAGGGGGAGAATCAAATGCACATGCATAAAGCCTATGAGAAAGACGTTGGTGGTGGTTTTCAGGTGCAAATTTTAGATCATTCCTAATAATGGGCATCCAGACTTCAGACTGTATATACAAAATTAAGCAATAATAAAAAATATATTATATAAAGTATTTACAGAAACATACTTTAGCTGTTTTTTCTTCTGCTTTGGAAGATACTAAATCCTCCCTTGTTTTAGAGAAAACTGCTGGATCAAAAATAAAAATACACTTGAATTACAATTACACAGATATTTTGAACATAATAAAACTTTCATTTTTACTTTTACAAATTAATCAAAATAGCATTCATTTTGACTTAACATTTCAAAGCAGATTTTGCCATTAAATAAATGCAAAATACAAGATGAAATGAAATCCAAAATTAAAACTCACAGCAACCTCATAACATTGCAGTTCTGTCTGATGTAATCCCAACTGAATCTCGATAACCTTTTTTTTAATCCTCCAAAAAAGGATTAAAAATTGATAAAATAGTTATTACTTCTGTTTTTTCTCTTGTACAAAATGAGGTACATTTGTGATCACTCTGATTCGTTTACAGCTGATCAAGAGAATTAACATTTGTTGAAAAGGGAAAAGAATAATTGGATAAGGCTGACAAAAAGCAATAGAACAGAAAAATCATCTGCACAAAATAATTTATACTCGTAGTATTCTAAACACAGCTTCCAGTTAAGTCAGAGGGTCTAACAAAACAGATGAAAGTGACAAAAGCCTTTTTACGAAGTGCAAATATGATGCAGGTCTAATATTTTCACAGTAGTGGCTGTTTGGTGGATAAAGCAGACAACCTGATGAATGTTTTATTGCTAAGAGTTGCGGACAGAAGTCGGCTCAGAATTATACAAGAATGATTGGTATAACTTTGACAGTATCTGCACCAGCTTTCATGGCCCAGTGGTAACGAACTTCCACGATTAACGGGATAATGCATAAATCCCTAAAAAATTCCAGTTTTACAACCCCCCTTTTTTAATGTAAAATGATACAAAAATATCAGAATATAACATACATTATTATTTGAATAAAATTGAAAAAGAAAATTAATGCAATGCATTGCAACTAATGCATCATTATAAAATTTCATCATTACATTTTTATGTTGATGAAGATGATAAGAGGAAGAAAAAATGGAAATTTTGAAACCCACATTATGCAATGATAGAAACATATTTCATTCATTTGACTAATGGTATAAAATAACATTTACTTCAAAATATTATAATGAAGCATATTAAAAAAAAAAAACTACTTTGCTCTTTATTATATTAACCTCAAAAGCAAGTTTCTTTCTTAAGTGTAAAACTGTTACTGTTTCTTAAGTTAACTGTAAAGCATGGATGATGTCAAAACTGTTTGGAGAAGAGTTACGAAAATGGAATTAACGAGTCTATTCAATTGAAAATGCATTGCCCACACAAATGTCCGACACTTAAAAGATTTTTTCTAGTCTCTCCCCATGCAAATTGAATACTGCACACTTTTAAAACACTAAAGATAAATTATAGAATTCAAGCTTCATCAGTTGGTGATCTTTATTTGCAGCATATAAAAATTGCTAAAGAGGAACATTCCTCTAAGATGATAAAAAGTTCTAGATTAAAATTTTACATTTTACACTATAAAAAAAGCCACAGCTTATTCAATATTATCTTTTAATACATTGATTATTTGCAAAGACAATGAGTCTTTAAAAGATGCAAGCAAAAAGTATTATCCATCCTTCTATTAGTCATTAATATACAGGGTGTATCAGTACAGCGTTGACAAACTTTCAGGGGAGATAGAGTACACCTAGATGATGGGAAATCAGATAGCAATGCATGGTCGGAAACGTTTTCTTGGTGTGGTAGTGACGACACGGAAAGCAAAAAAAGGAAGGGCACAAACAGTGAGACAAAACATGTTTTAATATGTTTAATACAGCAGAAACCTACAAATAAGAACAAAAACAAAAACAATCATCATTAAAGAAGGCGTTCGAAATTACGACCCCAAACCGTGATGCGGGCCTCACATCTCTGCAGGCAAGATCTGCATCACAAATGGAAGATGCATGATGCAAGGTTCGTGCATCATGGTCCGTGTTGTAATTTTGAATACATTCTTTGATGATGATCGTTGTCTCTTTAAGTTGTTTTTTCTTTGCCTTTGTTGTACTCCAAATAATAAACATGTTTTCTCCCCCCGTTCATGTCCTTTCTTTCTTGATTTTTGTGTCATCACTACCGCGCCAAAAAAGCATTTCCAACCATGCATTCCTAAGTGATTTCCCATCATCTAGGTGTACTCCATCTCTCCTGAAAGTTTGTCAACACTGTACTGATACACCCTTATATGAGCCACAGAGTCAGCCTAATAAAAGAATTATTCTACCAAAAAAGTAGACATACTTTAATATAAGGTTTGTTTTCTAACTGCATTTTTGATAAAATGTGAAATTATTACTTTAAAGAATACTATAGGAAGGCGTAAGCTGACTAAGGTTTCAAAGCAGTAAATGCAACAACATGATCTTAGATGACTATATACATAAATAGAAACAGAAGGCAGATATAAATGAAGCTGAAATTATACTTTTTTAAGTGCAGTGAATGGTTTGAGTAATGAAAGAAGCAACATAACTATTGCTGTATAAATATGCACATTTTGTAGTACAACAGCAAAAAATACCTACAAAGTAAAATTTATAATTTAAATTAACAAATAGCTGCATATTAATGCATTTAATAAAATATTTAGATGCTATACGTACTTTAAACCTCCGACTGCTCAATTTGTGGACCGAAATCGCTTCCAAAATTGTGATTTTTTTTTTCATATTTTAAATCTATATCTATTGAAGAATTGAAAAATACATTTTTCCTTTCTAGAAAATATTTTTTATATAGATTTTTATCATGAGAAACTAAGTTGATAGAAAAATCAATTTCAGAAAACCCCCCAAATTTTTTTTAAATAAATTTCAGTCGAATTACAGTTAATTTCTATTTATTGCATAATATAAAAAAAAGTAAAATATAGAAAATTTAAGAAAATATAAAGAACTGAGGGGGAAAATATCTTAGAAATGCAGTTTAGTATGATAGAGTTCAAAACAGGGTTCAAGGCAAAGTCCAACTTCACAGTCTTTGCACCAGATTCAGTAAATCTAATTAATATAATCAATATAATCAAATCTAATTAATAATTCAATAATTTAATTAAATAATCAAGATAATCGCTGAATGTTTTAGCCATTTCTGCAAGAAAAAAGTGCAAAAAGTGAAGTTTGAGTGGTAATACCACGTGCCTTCAAATGCCGCAATTTAGTGGATAACTAACGATATCTGTAGGCCAAAACATAAACTAAACGTCCAATAATGTATATAATTTATTTCAGCGGTTAAACGGGAAAAAAACGGGATGTGCTTCTCAATAAAGGAAGAAAAACACATGCCTGTGGAAATCATGGGATGAGCAGCCACAGGGTTAATAGAATACATTAATTAATATGTATGTATGTATGTATTTAATAGAATACATTACATCATTTTATTCATTCAAAACATGAAAAATAAAGAACTGTTTTGCTACATAAGAATGTATATTGTTACACAAGTCATGTTGAAGGGATGTATATATATGGCTAATGCTCAGAACTAACAAGTACACAGAGCCAAATTTTAAGTTTAAAATGGAAGCGCTCTAGGAAAGGAAGATGCTAGATATTTATTGCAAGTTCTTTTCTATTAAAAGAGTAACAATCATTGCCCAGAAAAATTATTATTGCTAAATGCAACCTGAAATATTAATGGCAACCAAATGATACATTCAAGATGCACTAGCTTGAAAATATAATCCTACAAGAATATTTGAGAAAAAAATTAGAATTCGCTGAAGAGAATAATTCATAATCCTTTCTTCCCTTGGCATGATCTTTGGCTAAGTACCATTTTGGTGCTGTGTTGGCACTGCAGCGTAACTTCTTCTTTTGACTATTTTAACGAAGACGTTCAATGCGAATAATTCCTTTTGGTACTTATGCATTTTCCATCGACTGCAAAAGTTAGTAGAAATCTTACCAAAACTGAGACAATGATTCTGGTGGAAGTTCGAGGGAACAGATGCCCTTTATCTGCTCTTCATTTAATTGGATAACCAACTAGGTATGAAAAATTAGAATTTAAATAACTGTGAGCTCAAGCTTTGAAATTAAACTAAGAAATTAATTCAAACTAGTGCCGAACATCAAATAGTCAAATATCCTGAATGGAATATAAAATAGCAACAAAACTGTCAGCGTCTTTATGAACTCAGTGCTGCATAAACTCACCTAAATATTAATCTAAATGGTGCTGCACTATTCCAAAATGTCATTTATTGAACCAGTTTCACACCAGTCTTTTCATATTTTGATTTTATGCATCAATATAACCAGTTCAAAATTAAAACTTAAGAATCTGATTCATTTGAAACTTAAACATGTGATGAAGCTTGCAGAGTAAAGTTGCTATCGTTGGTATGTTTGTGAATATTTTATCTACTGCTTTGGATTTATTTTAAATATTGAATTTTAATGCATATAATGGCAAACAAGCTATGAATCTAAAACATGATACTTTTTCTTTAATAAACCTCATTTTTATCTGTACTATAATAATATGCTATGCTAGAAATGGATCTTTATTATCAACTGCTTGTATACAGTAGTAATGGTGGAAAGAGTTTCTACAGTCTGTTTATTCTTTTATCAATAATGATGACAGTTCTAAAATTGATAAATAATTTAATTTCATACTGGTAAAATATTTTGCAGCAATAATAACTTAAGAAAAAGATTGGTTTGCTTCATCCATTCTACTCACCACATTTGATCTCTCGATTTAAATTACTGAAAATGAAAATATCAGGCCATCCTATAAGTAATGTCATTTTTTTAGATAGATTTATTAAAACATGTTTTAAGATGTCCAATCGAATGATTTTCATGGAAGTATAAATACCACTAATAAGCAAAGATAACTCCAGGTTTGCAAGTCTACGGGTACTAATTTGTTGCTTTAATAATAGCTCCTTGTGAAAATGGAAGTCACAGAAAAGTACATCATGGTTTGTGAGTACAATCAAAGCAAATGCTAGGAAAAAAAAATTGTAGAAAGTGAATATTAAAAGTGTTTTGAATTAGCAAGTGCCAATAATAGTTCTGTAAATTCCACCATGCAACCACAGATTGAAGGATGCAGGTAATTGTGGACACTCTTTTCTCATGATAATGTGTTGAAAGCAGCAACGAAAAAAAAAAAAAAAAACATATATATAGCTGTTGAAGTCAGCATCAGAGCTTAATTCATTATCATCAACTGTCCATCACCATTTGAAGGAAATTGGAATCGTGTTTAAAGTTTGAGAAGTGAACGGCCACATGAATTTACTAATGCAAACAAATCATTACTACTTCTCTCCTCTTCATTCTCTCAAACTCAATTCATTCAAAAAGAAATTCCTTTTTTAACTGTCTAGTGATTGGTATTTCAAAGCTTACAAAGTTTCATAGATAGAAAAGAACACAATTCCAATGAGGCACCTGAAATGGACTTTTAAGACATTTCTCTCCAATATATTTAGCACTGAAAGAATATTGTTGATTCATATGGAAAATATATAATTGATTAAATTAAATTTGTATTTTACTTATTTTTATTACTTCAAACAAACATGTTAGTTACTGAAACACCTGTTAGTACTACTTTAAAATGAACTTGTATTAAAATAGAGAAAATACTGTAATGAAAGTAATTTTTTCCTTTATCTGAATTTAAACAAATATGCAGTCATTTCACTATTCATGCAAATTATTGAATAATTAAATGTTGATAACATTTACATGTAATTTACAGTAAATGTTGATAACATTTACATAATTATTATACGTAGAAGTAAGAATTTGCAGGTGAACTTCATGAGGTATTGAATGTATGGAAGGGATATTTTCAAGATCTGCTGGAGGGAAGAAATGAAACTTAAGACGCCTGTGGGATCTTTAAAGAACCAAAATGTTCCCAATATGCAGGAAATGAATCACTACTGTCCTTAGACAAAGTTATGCTAGCAATTAAGAAACTTAAAAATAACATACTGGCTGGTCCCAATTGTATACCACCTAACTACTGAAAAATAATAATAAATTGGTATTTTTAAATGCTATTCATAATACTATGATTAATGTTTAGATTTTGGAGAAAATACCCATTGAATGAGAAGAAGGCTCCATTTTTAAAAAAGGAGATCAATTTGAATATCATAACTATAGTGGCATTACTCTTCACAATACAGCATACAGAACATTCTCTTATCTATTATATGCAAGACTGCTACCCTTTATTGATAAGTTGACTGGGAACTATCAATGTGGATTTAGATCCAAAAGATCAACTATTGGCCAAATTCATGCCTTAAGATAAATCCTTCAAAAAACTAAAGAATGCAGTATTAAAACTTACCATCTATTTATCGATTTTAATTTAACTAAAGCTGCACTGAGTAAAGTGAGATGTAGATTAAAACTTAAAATTATTCATCTGAACCTTTTATAACACAAAGAAACTTACATCAAAGAGATACCCTTGTTTGCCTTCTATTCAGTTTAGTGTAAGAAAAGTGCATTATAGACAGCAGTTGAGACTAAAGGACCACTTTGTGGAATAAATCCCTGAAAATACTGGCATATTCGGATGATATAGATATTATTGGAAGACCAAAAAAGGTAGTAATCAAGGTTTAGCTCTTAAATCTTCTGCCAAAAATATAGGCCTTATGGTCAATAAGGATAAAAGAAAATTCATGGAAATTACACCCTCCATGGTAAACTATTGTACCCAAATGTGAATTAACAGCTACACCTTTTAAAAAAGTTGAGGAATTTATATAATTAATGACAAAATTAAGTTATGAGCAGAAATTTATAATATAATTAAAAATGGCTTACAAATGCTTCTTTAGGCTAAGACAATTAACATCTAACCTTATAAGTTACAAATATATACATGTTTTACTTTACGCAAGTAAAGCATAAATTTTAAATAAAAACACACAACACTCACTGGACATGTTTGAGAGAAATTCTCAGAGGAATTTTTGACTCAATACAGGAAGAGGGATGTTGATGAGCAAGATATAATTCTGAACTATACAGGCTTTATAGGCAACCATACATAACACAAGTCATCCATCATAATAGATTAAGATGGATGGGTTATGTTTGGAGAAGCCTGGAGGATAATCCCAGTAAGACCTTGACATTAAAAAAACCTGAGGGATCCCAAGCTAAAGGAAGACTACCAACTAAATGGTTAGATGACAGTAAAAAAGTTGTAAAAACTTTAAAAATTAAAAACAGGAGAGGAGTCACCGCAGATAGAAGATGCTGGAAGGGGTGCATGGTTGAGGCAGCCAAGGCTTTTTGGGCTTATGAAAAAAGAAAAAAAAAAAAACGTTGAAAAAATTTTTATAAAAATAATATTGTAAATTTAGATGGTAACATATATTATTATAATGAAAGTAAAGATGCTGTTACTGCCATTGAAAAAGGTACGATGGAGTATGATAAATGTTATAAATATTCACAACATATGAAGAATGTGTATGATGAATAAATCTATATAAATATATCCATTTAAAACAGCTTTATTTTTTAATTTATAATTAATTATTCGAATATGAAGGAGTTGAGATATAGCAGATCATTGCACAATTCTAAATCCATATAAAAGTTTTCATTCCTCAAAAACATATTAACCAATAGCTTGTGTTGAACAGCAGCATTATTATGATATAAATAGCAGATTAGTATAAGTGTATTTACTGTATTATATGTTGTATCCTTGAAATAAAATAAGTTTAAAATTTTTTTTCCCCAGTTAAGAAAACCAAACGAAAGAGAAAATACATATGCAAAGAACTGCATTGAGCATATCCATATATGTTTAGATCATAAGTTTATAAGGTAAATTATCTGCTCATCAGTATTTTTATTAATACTGTACATTTGAATTGCAAACTATTGTAGATCTTATAATACTTACAAAAATTAAATACTAAAAGTGAAAAGATTTGTAACAAATGAAATGTTTGAAAAGGTGTATGGAACATAACAAGCAATTCATCTTTTTCTGCAAGTGATATATTTCTGTTTTGGGGAAATAATGCAGCCTAATTTATTAGACTTTATTTGCAAATTATTGTATTAAGATTCGCTATGTTGCTTAATGTTTGCAGCTGTATACTAAACATGATGAAAATTAACAAAAATTCTTATGGACTATGCTTCACTACAATGACTCATTGAATATATAAATACCTCAAGTGTGGACATATAACACATTTTAAGTAGATACTCCTGACATCTGACCTCACCTCAGTATTAGCAAAAGTTGCCTATGGAATTATTATAATGGTACAATATGCAACACAAGTAAATTTTTGGGTTTTCTTTGTGTTTATTTACTTTGTATTCACTGCCAATAGTATAATGAGAAGTCAACAACATGCTTACAAATTCTAAATTTTTTAAAACAGACTTGCCTTTTTCTTAAAATAAATCATAAAACAGCATTAGTATCTATATAAATACATTTTATACATTTATAACACATATATATGTTTTTATACTTGCGGACTGCCTAAGGTGCTAGGCATGGTTGAATTAATGATCTGCTAATATGCTTGACCATCGGGTTAAAGACAGCTTCCAAGAGATCCTGGTTGATACTGTCACGATGTAGGTATTTGTCTAGACATATGAGAGCTGAGGAATTGAGGGGTCCAATCATCTTCATGGATCATTACAAACCAAATGTTACTTCTGTCACTTTCATCTGGTGGTTACTATTACTGAGATATAAGATGCAATCATTGAGATTGAAAATGAACAAGATGCTGATGAACTGGTGCTAAACTGGGCCACTGCATTATTGATTAAACTTTCTGGAATTGCCTTGGATCGTAGACCAATTTCTTCTCGATTAAGAAAACAGCTATGCTTTCTTACAGCATTAAGAATTTAATATCTCTGAATTAACAATCGATGATGCCCCCCTTTATCACAATATCATGACAAATCCATACCAGTAGCAGTTGATCCAAATTATACTTGAAATTATTTTACTATAAATATTTTAGTAACATGAAAAAGTCAAAATGATGATCAAATTCTTCCCAATAGTTATTTACATTTTTTTTTTTTTTTTTTTTTTTTCCCTTTTGGCTCTTCCCATAAATCACTAAAATTAAGATCATGCAAGTTCGTGGACAAAGCTGATATGAAGATATTATCTTTAATGTACCCTCAAAAGAAAAAGCTATATGGCGTGCGAAAATGCTGACTTAAGAGCCCACCTGACCAATGCTAATTTATTAGACCTACTGTGACCAATTTAGCATTGAAAAAGTACTTTATTAATGAAATGATTTTCATTTAAAAAAATTTATTTTTGGAATAGGAGGAAAAATCATAAATTGAAGTTTAACACTTTAAAACCCTGCTATAAAAAAGTAGCTCATTTAATACACAATTCACAATTTATATTTCATTAATTGATTAAAATCTGCTAAACAAACAAAATTTCATTCCTTTAATTTTTAGTTCATATATTAAACAGAACTTGTATTTCTCTTTCAGTGGATAATGCATAACCATTCTAATAAATTAATAAATTTTAATCTTTGAACTATAATACAAATTTATGTAAAATATATAAGCATTACATTTGATTCCTATAATATTCTCACAAGTTACAGCTAGTTTTCGAGCAGCAACCACTATTGACTGACGCTGAATAACTTCCTGAACACTCCTGCAGGGGAAAAAATGCCATAAATTAAAAATTATTAAATTCATTATTCCCAAAACAACTCATGTAAGTCTATCAAACACAAGCCTCATCATAGAAGAAAAAAAACACCTTATAATTTTATTCATAACAACATTTCTCAGAACATGCATTGATTGGTTTAGTATACATTGTGTAGCTGCTATATTTTCAGTAGGAAAATTATCAGTAGAATTTTCATTACTCATTCATTTTCATTTCATTTCATAGAATTTACATTATTAGCTCTTTTCAAATTTTATACTCTAAATATTTATTCTTAATTTTTTTTTACTCAAAAATAGAATTCTTTAAAAATTGTCACTGTTGACTGAAGATATCTATCCTTCATATTGACACTGGTTTTAAAATGCTTTTCATTTTTTATATATAAACATTCTTCTTTCCTTAGACCAGGGTTTCTTAAACGTTTTTTAGTCGCGACCCTTTTTTATCACTGAGATTCTTTCGCGACCCCCAGGACCCCATAATATTTATGAAATTTTTTTGTGACCCCATAAGCATTCAGCAAATTCGACATATGCGTGTGTGAAACTGTCAATTTTTTCATTTGTACTGTAATATACTATTCCAGTTTTAAGTCATTAACTTCAATTTCTAATTTTAAGACTTTAGAAGATTGTGAAAATTTTAAATATAAGTAACAGACAAAATGGCAGTGTCACGTGCAAAGCAAGTAAAATGAACGTTTTTATTACAAAAAGAATGCATCGAAAAATTTTCCTTTTTTCTCTGTCTGTATTGTCTTATCTTTATCTATTTTCAGATACATTGAGTAAAAATATTACAATAAGTTAAAGAAATATCAAAACTGCTGAATTTTTTGACGACCCCCTGCTGCAGGTCACGCAACCCACAGTTTAAGAAACGCTGCCTTGGACAATCATAAGACTGTTTCCATCACCCCATTCTTCCTTTTACTCTGTCAAAAAAATTGCACATTCTTCTTCAAATGAACTTTCAAAATATTTTCTTTCTTAATTCAGAACCTTAATTACTCAATCTTCAAAATATTCAATCTTTAAAAAGTTTGTATGGTCTAACCCCCATTTGTTAAAACTAAGAAAGACATAAATTAAAAATTAAGAAGCAAAAATCTTTCATCAGAAAAAGAGAAAATACTAAATATTCTACTGCAAATCACAGCTTTAACCACTCTTTTAATTTTAATTAAATTAAAATTAGATTAAAAGCTTCTTTAGCGAATGTTTTAAATTTGCTAGATACCTTCTTACATGCATAAAAATCTGTCAACTTTAACAGGAATTTTATTATTCCAGTCCAGTTTTCTAAAACATTTATAAAACTTTACTTCCTAATTGATTACTTTATGTTTTGCTCAGTAAATGACACTAAAATTGTTACTCTTTTCTCTCTTTCTCTCTCTCTTTCCCCCTCCCCAGGGTAAGTCATGTAAAGTAATACATTTCTAAAATTTCTCCTACTTAAAGAAAAACCTATCAGATTTCTCCAAAACTATTTTTAATAAACTAATGCCAATCTCTCAGCCTAAATTTTAACTAAATTAAAAACTTTTGCATAATTTTAGTTCAAATCCTAAAATATTTATGCCACAGGTATTTAACATCCATGTCAGATGTATTTTTTAAGTAGATGTTTTCACTCTGCTAAGTAAATACAAAGACAAGAAAATCCTCTATAAAAGTACATATAGTGGCTTTCTGAGATGTACGTTTTTGCAATAATCATTTTGTGACTAAATTATAAGCTACACAGTTTACATTGCATGTAACATGAGAAGTCTACAAGCACAGATTTTAGAGATTGTTAATTAAATATATATATTTATATAATTTTTTTGGGGGGAAGGACTAGAAGAAGAGATTTTTAAAAGTGATTTATATATATAACATTATTTCAAAATGAGTTTTAAGAGAAATAAATATAACAATATATATATATATGCTTAGATAAAAATGCTATGAGTTTTACCTTCGAGTGAAAGATTTTTTACACAATGGGCATGGAGCACGGTATTTTGAATTCAGCAATTCTGTAATGCAGAATCTTCAAAGAAAAAAATTCATAAAAGTAAATTGAACTGCAAAACGTTACTTTTGCGGACATTCCATTTAGGTTAAATGTACATTACATAAATTCAAAAAATGCACAGCAAGAAAATGAAATGTTAAAAAAAAAAAAAAAAAAAAAAAAAAAAAAAAAAAAAAAAAACAGCACATTCACAAAATTCTTGTTACAAATGAATTGTAGGGCTTATGCACTTTATCTAAATATATCCCCCCCCAATTACCCATTTCCAAGTCCTATGAAAGAATGCTACTTTTGCCTTCTATTAAATCTCTAAAATGGTTGGACCACATCTGTCCAGCTATGAAATTTGTTGTGTACATATTAACTTATTGGGTTATTTTCTGATTAGCCACTCAACTCTCCCAAACAGTTCCCAATAGTTGGCAACAAGTTTTCCACCAACCTTTAGATTCAAAAGATAACAGCTATTTTTCAAAATGGGGGTGGCTTTAAGAATTACATAAAACAGCAACTAATTATCAAAATTAAAAATGCAAGCAACATCCACTATAAATCACTTTTCACCTGCTCTTTGATCTAGATACACAGCAATCTGTTTTAGCTTCAAAAAACAAAGAAATGTAGAAACTTTGCTCCATACATACTGTCGTTTCCTCATATGTACAGCAATCTATTATTGCTTAAAAATACATCAGAGAATTGCATAAATCTGGCAATGCATATGCTGTTGTTTCCTCATGTATACAGCAATATGTTTTTGTTTAAAGGAAGCACTAAAGAATTCTATAAATTGCGGCATCAGTGTACAAATTCCATCATTTGCAAAGTACAACTTCATGCAATATGAATTTTGCATTTTGTACTGTTAAGCAAAACACCATATTGCTGAGGAAATGCAAGGCTTTCTTTTTCATCAGCTGACAAACTGCATAGTCCCATTATGATTTTTTAACGAGAAAAAAATGCACAAATACTAATCATAACAAAGATTAATCAGAAAAATGACTGTTGAATTTGAAAAGCTGAAATCCGCACTCGTGTACTGTGTGCACGAATCCCTGGGTTGTCAAATAAATAATTTTTTGGGTTTACGTTGGCAACATAGTGCATTGCCTGATGAATTCTTTTCAGTTTTGAGTGGATAATCAGAAAGTACCATTTATTATTTAAAAGAGCTTGTTCATATTTTTTTCTCATTTAGACATTATCGTAGTAAACAGGTGACTGCAATAAAAAAGAGTACAATATATAATTATGCAAATCTACATAATAAATGCCAATAAAGTTCCTCATGAGTAGGTGAAAAAATATACTTCTAAAAAGAATATAAGCATTTCAGCTTCTAAACAACTTTCAGTTTATTAAGCTTTATGAAAGAAAGAACACTATACTGTTAAACAAAAAGAAAGCACACATTTATTGCATTATTTTATACACACGGTTTAATGTAAATGTATTTCCATATTTAAACTTTGAAAGTTTTCCCTTTCTTTTTATCCTTTCACTGAATTCACTTTTCTATAAGGTCTATGTACATGGATGATATGATACTTAGTTTTATGATGAAACAATACCTATCAGCCAAAGAGGTGATGTCATAATAAATATACTCAGGAAAATTGTCTCATATCTATTGTATGCATGAAAGAATACAAAAACATTCATGTAGATAGCTGATTTTGCATCTGAGATGTGGTTCCATGATAAAACTGACAGTTAAATTTCAATTCTGAAATTAATAAATAAAAAAATAGATAAAGATTATACCACATATATGGCTTTTTAGAATATTTACAATCAGCAGTGTTAAAAATAAAGGTCTTCTAATTACACAAGAGCTGCTTGAAAAGATTTTCAGCAGAGCTTAGCTGATTTTCAAAATCTTGTGAAATACATGATTGCAGAAACTAGAGCAATTGATGGAGAATTTGGTTTTAATGGTGCTGACACAACATGTTTATGAATTACTGGACTTAAATTCAGAGTATTTTTGTGATAATGATCTTCTAAAATTTGAAAAATGTTGAAATGAAGGTAGAGAACAAACAAAACAAAGATGAGATTTTTTTAAAAAAATAATTCATAAAAGAATTGGATAGAATATTCTGAGTTTGGAATTGCCTGTAGAGAAATAATGGATCCAGCATGCTTCTTTATACAGAACTAAGATGTGTTTTATTTGCTATTCTAGAATTAATACAAATTCGAAAAACATTAAACACTGTAATTGTTTTTGTTAAGAAAAACAGTAATTTCATATTTTATCACTAACCATGAAAAATGGCTTTTGCCAATCATAAAAGTTGCTGAAAATCTTGCCAACTAGTGCCTATTGTTGTAGCAGAATTTTGAAGGAACAGATGGCTATTTATTTAATTACTGATCACTCTTTATAGAGTACCATAATCAGCAGTTAAAAATTATAGATTCAGTGAACAAAGAAAAGTTAATAAATGTGAACTCTATTTGACAATATCATTTAGTAAAATTTGTGCCACTCATTCTAGAGGCCAAAAATCCCTAAGTTAAAATAATAATAAAATAGTCATCTCAATGAATTCAGAGTCACATAAACTAAAATAAAAATCTAAGTATTGTTTCATAATGCTGTAGCATTTTTATTGCACTTTTTTGCCAAATCTCAGTCTTTCAATGTTTTGAGTAGGAACACTATAAAATTATATGGGCAGTTAACTTCAAAATATTCAAATTCTGGAGTTCATAATTCATTAGTTAGGATTAGCAACTCATAATAGTTTCATAGTCCTTGTAAGAATCTGAAAAAAGATCATCCAGATCAAAAAACAGTCGGGTCGACTAAGTCCCCACCAACGTATGGGTAATTAATGTATATTACATAGAACTAAAGCAAAGATCTTATGAGTGCATTGTAATATCACACTTACCTGTTATTGGTGCTAAATCACACCGTTTGATACATGTTATTGCTTGCGTTTATGGCTGATAAGAAAATACATAAATACTGAAAAAATAAATAAATGGTACATTTCTATTAATGGGAAGGCAGTCACCAAATGTGGTAGCCTGTTTATATTGCCATCATGAATAAATGTATAACGTTTAATATGCATGATGCCGAGTTTGTGCAATTGTCTGATGTGTTTGATTACAAAAAACAACATCCCAGAATTCCCAAATTCACATGAAACAATATTTTATATGATACATTATTGTTATAACAAGATATTTTTTTTCATGAAGCTTACATATTACTATGATTCCTGCTATTTAATTAGATTTTATACCAATATTTATGTTTGACACTAAGTGGCACTCCATAAGCAAAGTACCTTACAACTATTCAAATCACTCTTAATAACTTTTTACCTAGCAGCTTATTAATTTTTAAATATTTATTAAACATATACTTTGTATTTAGTTTAAATCTCTCCTGGAAAAGAAGATCACTTTCATATTGTCGCAAGTACCTCGGTAGAAGTCTCCAACTGTGGCAACTATGCACTTGACAGTTCTTCAAGTAACAATATTGATAACTGCAAATTTGAATAAGCAACGTTGTCATTTTTGTACATGTTGTTTTGGTTGTATTAAAAGCCAAATGCAAACTGCAATATTTTTCATCTTCAGCTGAATTTTGAAATATGTGTTTGTAAGATTTGCCTGCAAACGAAGAAAGTTCTGTGAAATTTTCGCAGGAATATAATATTTTGCCTCAAACGCAGAAATGTTCAGATTCTCATTTGATGATGTATTTTAGTAAAACAACCTTTTCGTAAATGTAACATGAAAAAAATGTAATGAATATGTCAGCATTCAAAGTGGTAATTCAAGAATAGTTGTCTGCCATTTACTACAGCTGTCAGATTTATATACTGCTAGAGTAAAGAATTAATGAGTGTTAAATTTTGCTTGAAAAGGTTAGGAATTACCAGTAAGATTGTGGTAGAGAGGAACAATTACATGCGGGAGATCCCAACGTAAGTAGTTTCATAAATTGTTTTAAAAGAGAAATATTGAACTAAAATTAATATATGTTAACATGTACGATACAAAATAAACAGCATTCTCCAATTTGAAGTTATTATTCTTTTTCTTCTTAAAAATTGCTAAATTGCATCAAGGTGCTTGCGATAATACCAAAGTACCAAAAGAAGCATACAAAACAGAGTATTAATGTTGTAATCAATCATGGATAGATTGTAATTTTTATAACTGATTAGAATTATATAAATGCAATTCTGATATATACAATGGCACTGAATTAGTTAATTACACTAATCAATGGATACTTGTACAGATTTGATTTTATTCCCAAGTTTCTCAATCTTAATTTTAAAAATAAGTCATTGGAGACCATTACAAAATTTAAAACAGTATGATGTTGTTGTATTCTTCCCATATAATTATTACAATATAAAAAATGATACATAAATACTTTACTATGGATAACATAGCTGAACAGCTTACATTTTATTGTTTAATGGTAATACATTAAGAGCATTACATCAGTATACAGAATTTCATATATAGAGCTACTCCTTATTAAGATACATTAAATTGTTTGTGTTTAGAATCCCTTTGTTACAAGGAAAGTTCTTGGACTATTTCTTAATATATTTAAAATCCATTAAAAGTTTATTTTAAGGTATAAAAAATTAAATGATAACACATTTAAAAAATTTATTGTTCAAACATTTTCAATTTCTCTTACCGACAGAAAAAATGTCCACATCCTGTAGACATAGGTGTCTGCATTGGTTCCAAGCTAATAAATAAATTAGTAACATTAAAAATAAGGCAATTAAATTTATATATTATGAATGTATTCTAAACAATATAAAATAAATAACTGCTAAACAGACAGCTTTCATCACCTGACAACAATAAAAAATGCGAAAAAAATAGGGCGTTGTACTTTCTGATTATCTGCAACATTCCCACCCTAGTTTCAACACTCAGTAAAATCATGTTTTGGCCATATTTTTTAGTATAAACATAATAGCAAACTTACACATGCATGTACCACACATCTATTTGAGTACGCATGCATTTATGAGTTTTATACCTAATCACTATTTCACTGATCAGTGCCCCCCAAAAGCAATTTTTAGGTCAAGATTAATTATAATCGAGCTGTGGAGTCTACAAAATACTTATTTTTAATATTATTTGTGAACAAAACAATTCCTATGAACCATAAAAATAACCAAACAAACATTTTTTGGTGCTGGTATGGTCCAGTGGTCTGTTTTTAGTAAAGTATGCGGTCCATTGGCAAAAAGTGGTACAAAGTAAACAAAAATATAGTTCTTTTTAGAAAATTTATTAAAAAATCATACAGTCTACATACTTTATTACATTAATATCTTTAATATGCATAGCATCTAAAGGTACATTTATTTAAAAAAATACACAATTAGAGAAGTAGTGGTAGAAAAAAGTATCTAACCTAGGTTTTATGTGAAACTCCTGTCTCTTAAGAGATATAATTAGTCATATTGTTTTAGCACTTAGGTGAAACTTAGAGGCACTTAGGTGAAGTCATTTAGGTGAAACTGAAAATGTTCATGTTGGGCATACCTCTCATTTTCTTTAATATCAACACTTATGCATCAAGCGAAGATCTTTCAGTCGATTGTATGTGCTTCTGTTGGTGGATCGACATAATTTTCTTGATGATCAACACTTAGATGACGGTAATCTAATACTGTTAAATCTGCATAGGCTGGCCATTGATCAGAATGGATAATTGACACAGTCAACTTCATACTGTATGATTGGTATTAAGGAGGCTCTATCTCCACTCTGCACATTAAAGTATTGATTGTTCAAACCCTTCTTTAGATTAAATACTCATAGGCCATCAATTCGTGCCATGGTTTCTGTTATTTGGAACTTTGACATCACTGTCTTTAGATGTTGGCAAGTCCATGGACCCTTAGCATTTGCCCTCAATTATACTTTCCGTGACCTGCAAAATCCAGCTCCATCTATTTGCAGAGAACTCTCAACACAGCCTTGTATCTGAGGTCTTCCTGTCACATACTTCAAACACATATTAAATCAATCAGTGATGATATTTTTCAAGTTGCCTGTAAGTCAAACAGCTGTATCCATAGGGATTTCCTCAACAAAAAACAGCACAAGCTTCAGGATTTTGCACAGAATCAAATTAGAATTGAACCTTTGATTTATATCTGCATAGTGAAAAATATGTTTATTTGTCGAATGGATTGTGTGCCATGGCAGGTTTTCTGGGGATAATAGCAGATTATCTGTGGTCTTCACCTCTATCCTGTCTAAACTTCTTTTGCATTTTGCTATCACACCAATGAAAGGGTTCTGCACATCTAGAATCTTTTAAAAGACCATGTTCTTTAGGTAAATCAATAATAGTTTTTTCATTTAAGGTTAACTGCCTTGTAAAACTCTTCTAATATAGGGAAAATTCAGAAACTAACTTCTTCTGTGGAGTAGCTCCAGTGGTAGTAGGTGGAGCACAACTATTGTGTTAGCATAAATTTAGGTATTTTTGCATAATGAAACTCAAAAACATAAAAACACGTGCGCCAAGACATATATTGGCGAGACAAAGCGAAGGTCGGGGCATTTGATTCTCACCTCAGCTGCTTGTACCTGAGCCAAAGGTCTAATTCAGTTAGTGCTTTCTCTTTCAGATACTGTGTCAAAGTATATTCCGGTTTCTTTTTTTACTGCCTAAACAGGTAAGCCTGGTGATATTTAGGACTGATAAAGATTCTATGTAAGTTATTCTTTTCAATACCTCAAATTGAATGTCTGTGAAGATTGTTACTTTAATTGGTGTTCTACTTAAATTAAGCAGAATTCTCATACTTGTTAAATAAAGATTTTGTAGTTATTTTGACTTATGATTCTTTGATTAAAACTGTACTAAATAGAGGAAATGTACTCAATACGCCATATGCGCTAATGCAGAATACAACACATTGTTACATCAAGCAATCTGCAATTGAGAAAGCTTCCTGCTATCCTAGTGCAAGTGTCATACTGCCATGCACGTACTGGTTATAACATCACAAAACAATTGCTGCTATTGAAAATTCCACTAAATAAGAGGTAAGAGGAGTAACAAGATTTCTTTAGGCAACAAACCTGTCAGCAGTAGACATTCATTGTGAATTGTGTGGTCGTATATGGCCATACATTATGAGTGTCGGAGTAGGGGGTCAGTGGATGAGACGTTTCACAGAACAAGCATTCATGATGAATGAAGGAGTGGTAGGCCATCTGTAGAGTGATGATCTCGTCAAACAAATTGATGACAAAATCCACCAGATCCATCGGTTCAAAATATCAAACAATTTCCTAATATTCTTCAGATTGTTTTGTACTAGGTAGTCACCAGAAAATTAGGCTATAAGAAGTCCTGTGCTTGAATAGGTACCAAAAATTCTCATGGAGATCCACAAAGTCAATCAAACGGGCACTGCCTTATACTTTCTTTTCTGGTACCATAATGGAAGGGGAAGAGTTTTTTTAACAGAATAGTGACTAGCGACAAGACTGATAGCACATGTGAATGCTGAGACAAAACAACAATCAATAGCATAGAATCATACTCATTCTCCAACCCAGCTGAGGAAAACCCGTTGAACTTAGTCAGCGAGGAAGGTTATGGTCACTCTGTTTTGGGATGCTAATGGAATTTTGTTTGGCGAATTCATGGAACTTGGTATGACAAGCAGTTCTGAAGTGTACTATAACACTTTGAGAAAACTGATTGATCCGATCCGAACAAGTATGGCTGGAGTATGGCGAAGCGCGCTGTTTCCAGCTCATGAGGAGAGCCAGTAGGCACATGATGGTAGGAAGTCTGACGTGGTAGGAGTTAAGAGAATGAGGTGAGGCAGAAGGGGGACGAGCAAGATGCCGCAAGCCTAGGAATTAGGCCAGACAAGAAGACGCCCCGCAGACAGAGCAGTACAAGGTAAAGCAATCATGAGTTTTTATGATAAGCTACTGTGAGAATATACTACATGACAGAACGAGTTTGTAGGAATACAAACTCTCGAAAGCATACATTTGCAGATATAGAGTTACAGTGAGAAAAGTGCAGTTTGCAAGATCGAGAAAACTGAAAAGAGCCTTTGAGAACAAATGTTGCAGCTGCTAACACATGAGATTGTTTTTTCACAATAATACTCGCCCATACAGTGTTCAGTGAACACAAGATCTTTTGTGGTAATTCAAATGGCACGTGCTTCAAAATTTCTCCTACAGCCTAGACTTTGTTCCTTCCATTACCAATTGTTCCCTGCATTGAAAAAGTAACCTGGGGCACAGCCCTTCGCTGACAATGAGAAACTTCAAACCACTGTAAAATGTTGGTTTAAGTCCCAAGTGGCTGAGTTTTATGCAGAAGAGATTGGTAAGTTGATAAAATAACTATTGATAAGTATTAAAACATTAAGCAGATTAAGTGGACCACACACTATACGTCACCCATTTGTTGTTAATTCACAAAGTCGGTAATGTGCTGGTGACTTTTCCTGAAGGTGCAGATAATCAAAAAGTACCAGGGGAATTTAATTCTAAGTCAAAAATCACCTTTAGATTAACTAATAATTTAAAAATTCATATTGCAAGTTTACTTTAAATTTAATCAATACATTATAAGTGCATATCATCAATAATTTGTATTCATTATTTTTACACGTACATAAATATATAATCTAATCATTATACATAAATATATAATCTAATTGGAAATGAAAGCTGTAATGGGAAATTCTTAAAATTTACTCCCCTTTTTCTTAAGTGTATTTTTTTGGCATGTTGGGAATATAAATAAAATAAAAACAACTGAATATGCTGACATATTAAAATGGAATATAAGCATTTGGTAACATCTGAAATTTGCACATTAAAAATTTGGTAATTAAGTTTGCAAGTTTTGGTTACTAAGTGTGAAGGTCTTTTTAACCACTTTCGCTAAAAAGACGTCGATGCTTTTGTCTCAAACCGCACGCAAAAATGAAAATAACGTGGTGAACACGTCACCTATTAACGAGATTGTTTATTTCTCGAGTTACAGCTCTGGATTGCACTCGCAGACGCGAAGCGGCGTGAATGAGACACTTTACCGCTTGTTATATTGTAGCGCATGGCACTGCAACCGTGAAGTTTAGTTGTAGTGCAAGTGGTAGTGCATAAGGTAGTGTCCATTAAACAAATGAAGAGAGCATACTTTACTTTCAGCATGAAGGAATCATATAAATGGAAATGGAGAGAAAAATTTTAGTTGAGCTTTTATTGTACTAAAAGAAAAAGTTTTCACTGACCAGAATTAGAAAATTCTTGATAAATGTATGAATGTTTTAATGCAGATGCTCGATTTGACACAGTACCTACCCACTACTGTCTACTATATGAACTTTCACCAGCTCAGTTTTAGATCTAATTAACTTGACTTGTGCATTACGTTTGATTTAGAAAGATTGTAAATAAAAGTATAAAGATTATCCAATAACATTAGTTTATATAAAATCAAATATAATATTTAATAACTGGATTAAAAAACTTTAAGAATAATTTTCTTACCAAATAGCACATTCCAGTGATTTCAGAATGGTTCTTACTGTGTTGATGATTTCTTCAGACTTAAGGATAGCCATTATTCTAAAAATGCCTTAAATAAAACAAGAAGTATACAATGAAAGTTATTTTTGAATATATAAAAAAAAAGTTTATACATATCATTAAAATTTCTAATAGAAAACTAAAAATTACAAGACTTTGTTAGTGAAATAAACACATCACTGGACACCCACGGAAAGTTCACAATATGAATGTTCAGAATAAAGGGCGCATTTTTAGGTAATTACATGTTACCTCAAGAAATGTGAAACTATAGCTGAGCAGAGCAATTCAGCACCTATTATGGATAAGCATGACGTAATAACATACTTATAACATTTGTGCTTTTGTTTAATGTAAAACTGATTGATTCTAGATAAGCTATCTTTTGTTTTTGTGAACAAGGCTATAATTTAACTATTACTAGTATATTTTTTATTTACATTTAGAAGAAAATAATTAAAAAATAAAGAAAAGAACAGCTGGAAATGGTCAACAAAACAGTAATAAATTGGAACAATTGCTTACAGGAGATTCATATCTTCCAAACAGAGCTACTGGTAATACTGGAGGCCTAACAAAATCGTAGAAATTGATGAAAGCCATGAAGTGCAAAAACAAAGCAGGTTGAATGCTGATTGTTCATTCATTAAAAAGAAGTCAGTTTCTGCAGAATTCTGCAGGAATGATTGCCACAGCTTTAATGGTGTCTACACCAACTTTCATGGTTGACAGGATAATACATAAGTATCCATTTTTATTACACATTCCTATTTTTCACAATCAAAACTATTATATATATACTTTATGCTCATTGAATAAATTTTAACTTTGTTAATCTAATTTGCATTCTTACAAAATTAAGCTGAAATTAAATAAAGATGAATTCATGTAATTTTAAAGTAGAATCCTCTAATAGCATATGTCATCAAATAACTGTTAATCTTTGATCTTAACAAAATGAAAATTTCAAACAGATGAATATAAAGCAAAATGTTCAAAAAATCTTTTTAAAACCAGACTACCTTGAATTGATTCATTGACTACCTCAAAATTTTGTATAGAAATATAAAAAAAAAATTAATAATTTCTGTAAAAATTAGATATATATATATAAATTCCTACTTCATTTGGAAAATTTGAACATGATAAAGGTAGACACTAAGGTTATCTATACCTTTGTAAAAGGATTTTGTAAGAGAAAATGGCTTGAATTCATATAGAGAAAATATTCAGAACATGCCAAATTTTCTTCGTTGTTAAATAATGATTTTAATGTGGTAACTTGGCTTTCTTCATTGTTAGGTAATGATTTTGTTCTGGTAAGATTATTTTTCTCACAAGAATAAGTGAGATTGTGGTATGCTTATTTCATGGTCACGCGTGATCAGATTTTGAACACACTTTGTTATTTTTTGTAAAGCTGTATATTTGGAATATATTCAGGAAATATCTGTGCTATAATGGTGTATGACAATAACAGTTGCAAATAACACTGTTCAGCAAACAATGTTCTAGGTGCAATGAGGAGACAGATTTGCTTGGTAGCCGGTATGTAATACGACGGTCATACAGTTCTCAGATGTAGATTGTTATATACACAGAGAAGAAACAGCGCAAAAAAATTAGATGGATTTCAGAAAAAAAGAGTGCTTCAATTTTTAATGTATCATATAATCCTTACTTAATAATTTAAATGCATATTTTAAATTGCTCAAATGTGCTTTTTTTATGTTTGACTAATAACAGTAATTTGGTAACCTTTTTAAGAAAGGTCACCAAAATCAACAGTTTAAACCAGATAAGCAACTTTTACCCACACAGACATGAGTTCTTTAATTCTAAAGAAAAAGAACAATTGAATTTTAATAGTTATAGTTGAGCAGTTTTCTGTGTAAAGCAGATCTATCACAATTTAGAAAGGTCATACAGCACAGGCATGCAGAAAAATTGGTTTCAAGTCATTAAATACAGAAATATCTTAATGAGCTCAATGAAAAACATAAGCAAATTAGGAAAACTTTTAATTGGCAATGCATGAACATATGAAATGATTAATAATCTCAAACCAATTGCTTTACCAGTAAATGAACAAGAGAAAAGCATACCTAACCATTTGATTTCTAACAATATATTTAAATCAAAATAATTTTCATATAATTTTGCAGGTCAAATCACATAGGTCTATGAAGGAGAGAAAAGTGGAAAATAATTTTTATTTATCACTTACAAAGTGAATCTAAAATCAGAAGTAGCAAACATACAGATAAAAAGATACATCATACAGATAAAAAGACTATTTAAAATGTTACAAGCTAAAACTACTTAAAGTCTGATAATTCATGAACCTATGAGGATTTATTATGTTTTAGCACTCTATAATTTAGTTGTATGTTCTTCTGGTATTCGACTGCATTTAAGATCTATCTGCATCAATGATTAAAACAAAATATGGTTTTTCAAATTCATCAAAACTCAATATTGTGGTTGTAAATTCATATTCAAATCATTAAATAAAAAGACAACAGCCACAAGTAAACAAGAAGTTCAAATTATTTAAATAATGGTAGTTAGACCCTGGTTCAGATCTCTGCTAATGGATTAGTTACATCGGAATTTTTAAAATTTCTCCTGAAAGTTGAATAGGCAATTTTTCTTAGAAAGTCCTCACACAATGACTCTTTTGGCTGATCTTTAGAATATAGTAACAGGTAGTTTGGCGACATTTTGGAGGAGATAAAGGTTACTACCTGGGACTTCGGTAATAATGTGAGCAGTACTCAGTTCCGATTACGCATTATTTTGTACGAGGGAAACGAGAGATCATGGATATGTCATGTGATATTAATGGACGAATTACGGTTCTTTAATCGGAAAAGGGGGGAATGTGGTAAAATATCTGTGGCTGTATATTATTTTGTATTAAGCTTCATTGTGTGTTGTGTGAAGTAGGGTTGAATAATTTTGGGATTGTATAGCGCTGTCTAAAGTGAATTCTAGATGTGATAAAGAGAATTTTGCTTTTTACTTAGCGGAGGAAGTGTGGAGGAAAAATTCGCAGAAAAAATCGTTCAATAATCTTATTGAATCCATAATAAAAGTGTATCCACCATGTAAGCAAGATTCTGAAGAAGATTAGGTAAGTTAGTATTTTTAATTATTTGAGGACATTATTTTTATGCATTGTTCTAAATGTAAGGTGGAAGTAAAGTAATTTGGTATTATTGGGAAAATTGTTATTAGCAATGATTTAGTTTAAAGTAATTAGGATTGTAAGCTAATTTTTATTAATTTAATGTATGTGCTTATTTATATTTTAAGTAGTGTTTTTGAATTTAATTATATTTTAATTAAATGATAGTTATTTTGTGAATTTTATGTTTGTAGGAATTTGGTATACGTTTTAGTTGAAGTAAACGTGCATGGAAATAATTTAAATATTTGACACTAAGTATTTGTAATGTTTGCGGTGTGAATTCATTGGTGACGTTTATAATATAATAGATAATTTAAAGGTAAAAGTTTTTGGATATTTTATTTATTTTATACGTGGAAATGTTCATATTTGGAAAGGGTATATACTTTTCGTTTATTAGGTAATTTCATATATGTTCTTTTTAACGGGTTTAAAGATTCAGAAAATTGTCATGCATTTTCGTGAAATTTTTCTAATTTATGAGAAAAAAGCAGTGTACATGGATATGGTAAAGAGTGTGCGCAATGCCATTTTTGTGCAATTCTGGGATTATTTCTTTAAGTAAAAATAAGTCGACGTGTACATGGTTTAGTGATATTTTAACTAAATGATAGTTATTTTGTGAATTTTATGTTTGTAGGAATTTGGTATTACGTTTTAGTTGAAGTAAACGTGCATGGAAATAATTTAAATATTTGACACTAAGTATTTGTAATGCTTGCGGTATGAATTCGTTGGTGACGTTTATAATATAATAGATTTAGAGGTAAAAGTTTTTGGATATTTTATTTATTTTATATGTGGAAATGTTCATATTTGGAAAGGGTATATACTTTTTCACGATCAGGGAATTTCATATATGTTCTTTTTACTGGGTTTAAAGATTCAGAAAATTGTCATGTATTTTCGTGAAATTTTTCTAATTTACGAGAAAAAAGCAGTGTACATGGATATAGTGAAGAGTGTGCGCAATGCCATTTTTGTGCAATTCTGGGATGTTTTTTTAAGTAAAAATAAGTCGACGGTACATGGTTTATGTGTATGTGTTATTTTGAAAAACGCGTAAGGAGTATGGTATTGAGCACTTTTTCCCAATTTTGCAGTGAATATTTGTCATAATTAAGCAGTTTTGTTAGATAAAATTTCTAGCATAAGTGTAATTCGGCTAGTGATTGTTGAAAGAAGTGTTCAGTAGATAAAAAGAAAAGAAACATGTCTTTACTTCGTGAAAACAAAATGGCGGCAGGGGGGGGGGAAATAGAGGGTTGCTGTAGGAGAGTTGGTTGCCAAATTTTCGCCAAAAAATCGCCATGTTACCATAATCTAAAGATCAACCACACTTTTTCACCTAGCCGCATTCAAAATAAGCAGTTAGGTAACAACAGTCCCCCTTACCTGTGTTCAACATACTCTTGAATTTCCATGTCTAGTCTAAATAAAAAATTAACATAATAATAACAATTTGAGAAGCTTATCATTCCACATACTTATCCCTTTTCTGTTAACTAATCAGAAAGAAACTGTGGAGTCCAATATTTTAAAACTCGAATCAAAACAAAGATATAAATTTTCAATCGCTTATAAAGTTGGTTGCCGAAAAATAAAAAGGAATAAACTATTACAATATTCTCTGTAAATAGTATTTCTCCGCGAAGAATTTTTTTACAAGGTTAAAAAAAAATTACCACAAAAGAACAAAAATAAAACAAATAAAATGTTAAGTTGTAACCTTCGAAATAGCCAAAACATTTATGTTTCATATTTGTAAACAATATAAATTTACTTACTTACTTGAAATACAAAACTTACTTGAATATATTACAAATATTCAACAATGATATGATGAGACGACAGCGTTCTGCTACGTAATTACTTGAAAACAATGAATAATTCATATATATGATAAAAATTTCATATAAACACACATAACATATACGACGAAATTACCTTACCGTACAAGTTTGCACATTTCCCGCGTTTCTTTGGATATCAATTCTACCGTTAAAGTTGCGATGAAACCAAGAAGGAGGGAAGATTCAACTCAAACGGTGAAGGTTGGCGGCCATGTTTCTGTTATCGCTGTGACTTATATAAGGAAGTCTGTAATTGCAATATTATTTTTTTCTTCTTTTCTTTTTGAAGCATGTCAGCTTCTGTTGCATATGAATGCTTAAATAGATTTTAGGATTTCCTTTTTCTATGTAATTTGACAAATCTGTTAAAAAATATCATAATGTCATGTTGTTTTCTTTCCAGATGTAAAACAAAAGTGCTTAATAATAATCAAAATACCTTAAATACATTTTAATGTTTCTGTTTATAGCTGGTATCTTCGTTCCTTAACATACAATGATATATGCTAGGATTTAAACTGTATAATTTGACCGTTTTAGGTAATTCGTTTTATAATTTTCATTAAAAGTAAGAAATCAATTGTTACTATTTTTATGAATTGTAAAGGTGTTAAATAAAGTAATGCTTTTCTTTATGTATTAATTATTACTCATTTGAAAGTTTTGTGAACTGTTAGGAATATAATTTGTGCATTTGATCAAGATAAACTAACTTTTCTGTTGTTAAAATCTTTTTGCATAAATTTACAAATTTGTGGGCAGTATAGCGATAAAAGTAAGTAAAATATTTACACAACTGAACATGTGGAAAGATGTATCTGTAATTCAGCTTAATTCCAGGCAGTTTCTTTGGGATTCATAAATATGAAACACGCATAAACTGAAATCTTTGAATTCACATAAATCTGTTTTATTTTATCAATATTTATTTTCTTGTTATAACGTTGTTGGTTTGAGAAAAGAATATTTTTTAAAACTTTCATTTAAAAAAACAACAACCTGTGATTATTTATTTACATAATTATTGCTAATATATGTGAATTTCTGTTTCAGTTTGTTACAATTTAAATCGGAAATATTCAAGCATACTAAAATAAAATAACTTTCTTTCCTATTTCTTAAACTTTTTTAAATGATTCTTTAATAAATTACAATATTGTGAATAAATTCAGCTTTTAATTATTCCAAGAAATAAATTTGGAGAAACTGATTTAGTATTAGAAATAAGATTTCAGTTGCATATGCCTTCTGTAGTGTATAATTTCTTTATACCAGTATGAAAAAATAATGCCTTTTTATCAATTGTTTATGCAGTTCACATATAAAGAATGGTATCTACTACTAAAAAATGTCAGTTATTTTTCTCTTAAAGTTTGTCTTGCCTGTTCTTACAGTGTGGTTACGTAATTTACATATTTTATCTTCAATAATAATTAGACGTGTATGTACATGGTGATTCAGAATTCATCATCAATATTTGGTGGGGAAGAAGGGAATAGCAAAAAGAAGATTTCGCATGGAAATTCATGGGCGCATATGCCATGTAGATGGCAAAATGACCCCAGTTCAATGATGGAAAGAACACATAAGAAGGAAGTGGTAAGGAAAAAAGCATTAATTATCTTAGGTGTAACATTTCTTTGCATCGGTTTTACAGAGGTGCTCGAACTGCCGACCGTGTGCTAGAATGCATGACTCATAACGGCGTTACACGGACAACTGGACCTTCTGGAATATGCCTGGCATTTATCTTATGTTTGCGGCACTAACCAATATGCGTGTTACAAGATCCATAGCACTATCAACAGGGGTCTCATACACAGTGGCGTAGCAAGCATGACTGGCGCCCGGGGCAAAATACCTTTTTGGCCCCCCCCACAATAAAAAATTTCAGTAATATAATGTATAGAATATATTCGTAATAAGAAAATAATGCAAATAATAATAAAATGCTGAATTTGTTATAAAATACTCAAAAATATATTAAGAATAGTCACTAGCTAACTACACTATCCTTGGATTCGGAAATGCATCTGTGTCGGCGGAAAAAATCAGAACATACGATGATCTAGAATTAGTTCAAAAGGTGTTATAAGTGTTTTTTAAAAAGTGCAGGTTTTAACAATTAAAGTTTAATTTTATACATTATAGATAAATAGATATGTAGCAACTTGCCTACTACAACTCAACTCTGCCAGTCTGGTAACCCATAGCAACAAAGAACAAAATAATATTTATTCTATTCAATTGTTATAATTATTAATGATCTGTCTCAAAAAATTGTACTATCATAATTGGTGACACGTACTTATTACGAATATAACATTCAATGATGCACGAATATGGAGTTCAATTGTCAAAATTCTGAGCAGCAGTAAGTTATCCAGTGTGATGAGATGCAAGTAAGACATTCACCTGTCATTTAAAGCGTTGTGCCGCATTCCGGCGAGTCAACATATTTCTGTCATAATTTCAGTGGATATATGTATCGTCTACAGCATTTGAGCCGCCAATTTCTCTGATTTCAAGTACCAAGAAACTGTGTCACTATAAACATATTGATTATTTTTCTATACTATTATATTGTGCGTATTTGATTGATATTTGGTATGCGCAGTTATGTCGCATTACTGCCGACGAAACTCATTTTATACAGCATTTCCGTGTTAGAATCAGAGGTCTGCAATCAACACGTGAAATAATTTTGAATTCACCGGCGACGGACAAATACAATCTTTTAAAAATTTAATTTCTGTTTGTGAAGAATCATAGACAGAATAGCATTGTTGCACGATTTACGATTGGGTGATAGGAGGCCTTCTCAATTGCTGTCTAAACTCCAGACTTAGCCCCGGTAAGCTAACGATAACATTATGGACAACTCCCATCTAACATGCAAACCATTTTAGCGGCCAGTAGGGAGCCACTTAAAAATCTTCCCGAAATCGCTGATAAAATTCACAAGTTGGCCAGTCCAGCGCAAATACACGCAGTGCAGGCTCCTGGTCCAGGTACTGTGGCGTTACAGGCTCAAATTGATGATTTGTCCTGTAGCCATCTAAGCTGAACCTTTTCAGCGCAACCGCTCCACATCCCGTGGTCGAAATACACGTCGTAGCCCACTGAGGAAACGTTATGAAAGCCGGGTATTCGTAACAGGGCTATTTGTTTTTACCACCACAAATTTGGCAAACAAATGCCACCCACTGTGTCGTTATAACGACCAGGGAAACGAAGGCCGTTTCTCGAAGTTGTGAACGACAGCGGCCGGAATTTTTGCACGCCTTTTCGTCATCGAAAAGAATTCGGGCTTAAGGTTTCTTGTAGACACCGAGTGATGTTTCTGTCGTTCCACCACATTTTCACGAACAAAAGGGCCTTACCAAGCTATACTTTATTAGAAAATGGAACTCCTATTCAAATTTTGGTGAACGCCTGATATCTTTTGATTTAGGATTGCGCCGCAACATCCATGGCATTCATTCAAGTCTACTGTAAGTCCTATTAGTGGCGCTGACGTTTTTCAAAAAATTTCTTTGCTTGTCGATTAGAATCGCCGTTTGATAGATTCTACAACCAACGTAACTTATCCGGAGTAATTCACATAGTCAAGATTTGAGCATAAACTGATTTCGGGAACTCCCCATGGCGTCAATTCTCATCTCTACAAAACGCGCCCAGTTATGTAGTTCCGAATCCAAACACGATGACTACATTATATGAAACTACCGGACCTCCAATTGCGGCTAAAACAAGACGCTTCCCTCCGGACAAGCGTAAAGCCCCCAAAGAGGAATTTCAATACATGATGGAACAGGGAATTTGCCGTCCTCAGAAAGTTATGGCCAGTCCGCTCCATCTAGTTCGGAAACGAAATGGTAACTGGCGCCCGTGTGGCCAATTCGTCGGTTAATGCAGCTACATTCCTTATCATACCAGTCCCGCACATTCAAGACTGTATGCAAGTTTCAGACGGAAAAGCTATTTTTCCAACCTTTGATCTTGAGGGCGTATCACCAGCTGATATTCCAAAAACTTCTGCAATTCTGCTCAAACGTTTCACACTTCATGAATCAGGTGTTAATCTGCCTCGACTTTTGTTTACCTTATTTTGATGACGTCTTAATCACCTCCTCTTAAGAACACCTATCACATTTGAGAACTTTTGAACGTTTGCAAGGACGATGTCAGTCTTAATCCTTCCAAATGCGTTTTCGGCCAACCAAGAGTATTCTTTCTTGGTCATGAAATTTCCACTGACGGCGTTTGACCCCTTCCAGGTAGAGTCACCGCTATCTGCGATATACCCGAAACATCTTCAGTGAAGGACTTAAAAATCTTGCTATTCTCAATTTTTATCGACATTTCTTACCTCATGCAGTGACCACACAAGCACCTCTAAATTCTTTTTTCATTGGAAGCAAGAAAACTATAAACGTGTTATAAACCTGGACCATAGAATCTCGCGAAGCATTCCAAAAATGCAAAACGGATTTAATTTCGGCAACAAATTTTCAGTATCCTTCCGCATCTAAACCATTCACTCTACGTTTACAAGGTATTTCTCCCGCTTTCCTAGCGTGCCTTGTGGTTTAGTGGTTCTGTACGCTGGGCAGGTACTCCAGAGGTCCACGGTTTGAATCCCGGCGAAGGCGTTGCATATTTTTCATATCTTCTGCTTCCAAAAAATAACCTAATGTCTCTACACATGATGCATCAACAACAGGTATAGGAGCAGTTTACAACAGAAAGATAAGAATTATGGAGACCACTTTCTTATTTTTCTAAAAAACTCTCACCAGTGTAAACCAGATACAGCACTCACGATCGCGAATTATTAGGAATTTATGAAGCTGTCAAATATTTTCGACATATGCTACGAGCTCTATATCAAAAGTATCCGTTGTATTGAGGTTCGCAGAATATTGTTGCAGACACCTTGTCTCGTATTGAACAACTAGCCGTTCCTTCACCAATAAACTTTGCTGCCCTTGAGGATGAACAACACCGGGATTCAGAACTACAAACCCTCTTGAAAAGCAATCTTCCACCAATCTCACTTGCAGCCTGTGGCAGCTGTCACCTGGAAATCACTTTATTGTGATGTTTAGGATTCAAGATTCGACTTTAAGTTCCCTCCAGGTTTCGCCATGCCATTTAGTCA